AAATAATCTAGTCTCGGCGCTGCACGAGTTCCATCGTGATAATTCGAGTATTCATTCATGCTACATGCCGCTCAGCAGGGTGTATGGTCGTCTTCATGGGCATACAGCCATGAGACGCTCAGCTGCGATGCCCCCGTGTGAGTTGTGATATACATACTACACTCCCCTATTCCATCTTCTATCCGCTTCATCTGTGTGTATGTGACGATGGCTTCAATCATCCAAGAATCCTGTCACTTATGTGTCGTATGCTCCCTCCAATACATCTACACCCCCGTCAAAAGACGACATATCTCTCTTCTGAGAGGACAGACGGGTTCTGGCTGCTCTTTAGACATCGCTGCCCTGTCCCTGTCATTGCACCACAACTTCACTTCCGTCTCTGTTTCTCTCTCCTACTCTACTCTCTCCATACCAGAACTCCCGCATCTTGTATGCCCGTACTACATCCGGCTACCTATTCACGCGCGGACTTGAAGTAGCGGGGCGACTAGCGGCTCATCTTGTGATAGGACAGGGCGACGCAGAATGATGTTATCCCGCCTAACAGAAGGGATGCGCATTAGGAGATCTAAGAAGCCCCACGAATAACAGTCGAGAACCGTGCCCATCAAACCTCCCATGACGGCTTCCACTGCGGCTGATAGGTTTGCGATGCCTCGAAAAAGGTGGTCTACCCTTGTCTCTTGCTCTCGGCTCTTAGACAAGCGGCCGTCAAGCTCCGTATCACTTAGTTTCCGTTCAATGACGGTGCATAAGGCTCCGCCAAGTGCCGCTGAAGCTCTGCCTGTCATATTACAGAAGCCTCCGAAACAACTGTGGCAACTACGCTAACACTGGAGGTTGTGCTGATTCGCTCTGTCTTTCGCTCTGTCTTTCTCATTTTCTTCCATCAGCAGTACTGTTCGAGGGAATGAGTATTGGTCTACAGCTGAACCAAGTGGCTGTGATGAGGATAACAACTGCAGCTCTATAGAGCATGCATGCCTCATGAGGATAATGCAACTATGGAGCAAGCTGACTCAAGCAGCTGCTATATACGACACTGCCTCAGATCTGGATGATGACCAACACGGGCAACATGGGAATCGGCGTCTCAAAAGCCACGGTCCCTCTTCCGCGCCCCCTTCGGGATTCCCTTGCATTACTTTAGTAGCCAATCTGCGTCTAAGCGGTGCATCTCCAAGCTTCTTTCGGTAGCGACGGCGCCTGAGAGGGCTTCGACTTGGCAGCCAGGCTGTATCAGGAGACCCTGCCTCGCTGGGCTTTTAGCATCGAGATGGGGAATCTCTGTAGGACTAGCTTCGCAGAGGCTGAAGCCGATGACCCTTTTGGCAACCTGCAGGTAGCCAGAGCGGCACATTCTGCTTGACTTTCGTTTCTCTCTTTCATTTCTGTTTTTTGTGCTCGTCCTTCTTCCGCTCTATCGCCGTCACTCTCTCCTCCGTCCGCGTTCCCACGTTCTCGCCACTTTCTCATACGCGCGCTTCATGTCTATCTCAGCCCCAGAACCCCTGTCTGGTGCAAAGACCGGATCTCAGGCACGGTGCTTCCGCCGCTTTGCTCCATTTCCAACCTGTGGGCTCTGACACTAATATTCATACTCGGACATGCTCATACACCCGCCTGTACATGGCCAACCGGATAGTGCTGGCTCCACGCCTCTATCACATCTCATCTTTTGCTTTCAAAACACCCTCTTGACACCAGTCTAAGATGATCACCATCAAATGAGCAATCCAAAGCGAGTCCACTTCATTACATTTGGCGGGCCTCCCGTTGACTGCTCCCCCGCCCTCTAGCACGGAGCTACATCGCCTTTAATTGCGGGACGATAGTGGTTACTGTTGTTGTCTCGAGCAGCTGATGGGTTTTGTTGAGGCCAGCCAGCCTACATGTTAGTTGCTGCCTCACTAGAGGAGCTACGAAACACGAGGGATCATGTTGGATCAAGTCCAGCCATACATCGAGCTAGTCAGTACGCTGCCAGCGCACGTCCATGACGAGCTACGAAATGTTACATATGCATCATACTGATCATTACATGCAGAGGACTCCGTGGCCGTGCATGTACATACGCCCACGGAGGGTGTACTTTGCCTTGGCTGCATCTACCAGATCGCTGGGCCTGCACATCGATCTAAAATGGTATGCTTTGAAAGCCTCAAGTACTCCTTGGTATACTGGACGCCGCCCACATCCCGAGGAATGATGGCGTGGATGCCAACAGCTCAATCAGAGCAAGAGATACGTTTAGGAGGCGTTGTGTTTGTTTCATCGTATCGATCCGCTCTGATGGTGTTGGCATCTCATTTTACTCTCAATATTGATTGTCTTTGCCACCATGCGCCGTATCAATAGGGTTGGGGCCGTAAATAATTTGCTTTCCGTGTTGCCTCTCCCCCCTGGCATTGCCACTCGGGATTTGGGTAAGAAAAGAGCAAGTCTGCCGTCGAGAGTTTGTTCAGCTTGACATGGCACTGGGGAAAAGTACGTGGTGGCCACGGCGGATGGTCCGTTGTAACTGTGACATTCATTGATGCTGATCTGAGCTTGAAGATTGAGTAATGATTTGCAGTTTCAAGTGTGATTGTGACTGTTTTCTGGTAAACTCGTCTACGATTCTGCTGTTTGTGAGAAACTGTTTGCGTTCGAAAGCCATGTTCTCCTGGCAAGCTCTGGTTATAGAACTGGTAGAAGAGATGGAAAGGGGCTTACATCCCTTGCTTTGATCTGCAGAGATTGTGCATTTAGAAGAGCATCCATATAGTTCTTGCTAAAGGATATGTAGTCATTGAACTCTCGTGTATGAAATCTAGCTCTCTCCAATGGAATATGTGTTGTAAGAAGGTTGAACAAGAAGAACATTGTCTATTTCATGGTTAACAGCTATTTTAGTGACCACATCTATCTTTCCAACCTGTCCGCTCTATATGCGATTTCCCCCCTTCTCTGAGAACGCCGAATTATGCTCTTCGTATAGATAAACGCTGATTTACAAAGCAGAAACTGCCGGCCGCCGACAAATCAAGCTCGAAACGAAGCAAACATTAAGAAATACAAAATGACACCCCCTGAAGCTCATTCTCGTCGAATCGGCAATGATCACGACATCCAGCGAGGCAGATAGTAGCGGACATTCTCGTAGACCAGGAACGTGACCCAAGTCGAGGGCATAACCCGGACGACTCCCGGTATCAAGCCGCGGTAGAAGCCCCGAATGCCCTCCTCCCTCCACGTCATCCTCACGACGCCCCTGAATCCCTTGCCAAACTTCTCGTCGGCGTGGAAGACCTGCAGGCGGCTCCGGAGCACCTGGTACGGATACGTGACGGCGCCGGCGATGAGCTTCGCGGCGGAGGAGATGACGACGGTGGCCTCGGTGGTCATGCGGCTACTGTCGAAGCCTTGGCTCTGGCGGCGCGCAAAGTAGAAGCGCTTGGCGGGCTCGTAGACGGCGAACTGGACGGCGCCGTGGGAGACGCCGATCATGGAGACGCCGAGGCCGCGGTACAGGCCGCGGAACCCTTCGGTGGCGTAGATTGTGCGGAAGCCGGACCACATGGACGGGTAGGCGCCCTTTGCGCCCTTGTCGGAGGCGAGCATGCGCGTCTTGACGACCCAGATGGGGTTGGAGAGGAAGCTGGTGGCGGCGCCGCCGAGGGCGCTGGCGACGAAGTAGTCGGAGGGGGTAGGGCGATCGGAGCCGCGGGCGAAGGTGAGGAGGTCTTCGAAGCGGGTCTTGAAGAAGAAGAAGGAGGCCCAGCTGAGGGCGTTGCCGGTGAGGTTAGGGGTGAGGCCGCGGTAGAGGGAGGAGAATGGGCGAGGGTTGCTGGAGAGGGATCGGAGCATGGCGAGCATGGAGGGGTTGTGCTCGGCGGCGGAGGCGGCGCTGGTGCTGACTGTTGAAGCTGGATTGTTAGTTTTCGTGAGTATCCATGGAGTTGAAGGATTGTTCTGCTATAGTTCTTCTTCTCCTTGTCTCTCCCTCTTTGCTTATTCCACCTCCTTGTTTTGTCGTTCTCTTGCCACAACTCCCCCCTCATCCCCCTCCATAACATTACAAGATCAACCCTCCCCAGAGAAACCAAGACAAGACAGAACCAGCAACAGGAACAGGAAGCAACTCACTCTGCATGCGCGTCTTGACAATATCCAGCGGATGCACAACTAGCGTCGCAATCGAGCCCGCGCTGAGCCCAGCAATCGACTCGACCAGAGCCGGAGACAGCCGGCCGGCATCATGGCTTCCGGGCATGGAGCTGTTCGGATCGGAGTTTCGTCCGGTCACATTGTCGGGCTGCGCAAAGTTGACGGGCGAGTGCTCGTTCATGTGGAACAGCTTTATTGCTTTGTCAAACTGTGTGGCGTATTGGCATATAGATCGGTCCCTGTTTTTTTTTTTTTTTTTTTTTTTTCTTTGTCAGTCCAGTTAAACCGGTCACTGGCGGGTAGCGGCGGGTGGGTTGTTTTGTTTGGAGGTCGGGCGCTGTCGGAGGCTAGGATTCGGTTATTCGATCTTTTGAAATTGTAAGCTGCTTTGCTCTGTCTTATCTTGGCTGTGCTGGGGGTTCTTGGGATTCAGAGAAGAGGTGGTGCGTTTCAATTGACTGAGAACTCACTGGTAGAAGGTTGGTTTCTGGTGTTTTCCAACTTGGCTTACGGTAGAGATAAAGGGTTACATTGTTCCAATTGAATAAAAAGCGGTAGATAAAGCGTTATCGGCGCATGGATACCCTGTGCTTACTTGCACGGCAGAATTAGTTCAGGTTAGATATGAAGCGATAGTAGCATTGGAGAAGAAGAGTGGTGATGGGAGCGGACACTTGAAAAAGCAGTGAATAACAGACGTTTCCCCTGCATTTCATTGAAATACTTGAGCTGCTCGTAATCGCTGCGGACTTAGTTGGATAGACAAACTGAGGTGATCGAGAGTCACTCCAGTTTAGGTAGCAGTATCAAGTATGCAACATGGATGGGCGGCAGAACTAAATGAAGAACTCGCAGAGTGGTTACTTGGTCCAATTACAGTACGGAGCAGTAGATAATACATTCTTATTGGTACATGGCAGCATTTGGTGTCCTCCTTTGCGTCCTCTCGGCGACGTTGTCGTCATACCTTATTGTATCACCAGTCCCGTGCCCTGTCCTGCCTTCTTCCAAGACATGTGCATATTACCCAAACGCCATGATGAATGCTGGACATTGAGCTTCTCTCTGGCTGTTCGCCTCTTCATGTTGCATGCCTTTTCCCGTGCCCTTGAGCCGTATTATAATCGTATATCGTACAACATCGCATGCCCGTCTGTTCTTGCGTTTAGGAAAGAGGAGAGAGAAGTCTGTTTGTTTCTGTTAGCCGACTTCGTACATGTATCTTGATCTGAGAGGAACGGCATACCGGATGACTGAAGGTCGGGGGTCGCTGCGGGTGTAGCCTAAATCGAGACAAGAGAGAATCAGTTTCCGGCATAAGCCGTAGATGCGCTTCGAGATCGCATACCGAGGTAGAGAATCAGAGGAAGGTAGCCACTAGATTGCAACGGTTAGCTCCCATATGGCACAGGGAAGAGGAAATATCAGGGAATTCCATACTAGTGAATGGCGACTCGAGAAATGTCAATGAGCTTGGCAATGCGCTCCTGTGGTAGAAGACAGAGTTAGTCCGGTTGTTTCTTCTCCATCATCACATCATCATCCTCTCGTTCCTCCCGCCGTCTCTCCCGCTTTTCTCTTCCTCCTCGAAGCGCCTCGTATATTCGTACCTTGGACTCTTCTGAAAGGGCAAACATCTTGAATCTGGAGGTCGTCGGGCGACAGGTTCGGACAGCAGAAAATGTTGTCGTTGGGAGATGCGAGTGCGCAAATTGATGCTTCCAAGCTCTTCGTCCAAGTGTCCCGCCTACTAAGAAATTTCGAGGCCTAATGCGGTCTTACTGCAATCAGTGCCGGCTCAACTCTGGCTAATTTGATAAACCCGTTTGGTAGGAATACATGGGTACATTGTATCGCTGCTGCGAAACATTTCTGTGGTTGAGATTTCCGAGCTTCATCCTAAGCTGCATCACACGCGACGACGATATTGAAGCTGTTTCTTTTCTTTTTGCTCACTATTCATTGATAGTAACGCCGTTCAGAGAGTCAATTCCTACATCCAGCATCAAACTTCTATCTCTTGTGCCGTTCTCGTAAGGCTCCGGCCTGCAAACCGTCAAGATGGCAGTCAACAGGCATTGGTACGTTTTCTCTTTCGAGCTTCCCCCCAAACCCCAACCCCGTTCACTTCGCGTATTGATACCATTTGTCTCGAATCAAAACTGACCCGAAATCTAGGGAGCAAGACAAGGAGGCCACGGTCTACATTGGCAACATCGACGAGCGCGCGACCTCGGCCATGGTCTACGAAATCATGCTCCAGATGGGCCCCATCCACAACATCCACATGCCTCGAGATCGCGTCACCCAAACCCACCAGGGCTTCGGCTTCGTCGAGTTTCGCACCCCTGCCGACGCCGAGTACGCCGCCAACGTCATGAACGGCATCAAGCTCTACGGGAAGTCGCTTCGCGTCAACAAGGCAAGCGCTGATAAGCAGAAGGCAGCCGAGGTGGGCGCCGAGCTGTTCATCGGAAACCTCGATCCCATGGTCGACGAGAAGATCCTCTACGACACCTTTAGCCGGTTTGGCCCGCTGCTGAGCATTCCCAAGGTTGCTAGGGAAGATAGTGGCGCGAGCAAGGGCTTTGGCTTCGTCAGCTACGGCGACTTCGAGAGCAGTGATGCTGCCATTTCCAACCTCCACGGGCAGTACATCCTCAGCAAGGAGGTGTCTGTGCAATACGCCTTCAAGAAGGACGGCAAGGGAGAGAGACACGGTGATCAGGCTGAGCGAGCCCTGGCCGCGCAGGCCAAGTCAAGAAATATCCTTCCCGAGGCCCAACCTCTTCCTCAGGCTTTCCTCATGAACTCGGCGGCCGCTGCTCCTGCTCCTGCCAACGCAGCACCTCCATCCGCTCCCGCTGGCTTCGATTCCGGTGCAATGGGCGGCATGCCAGCTGGAGTACCGCCGCCGATGATGGGAACGCCCACACATGCGAATATTCCAAGCGGTTTTGCCCCTCCTCCACGCGGACCGTCTCCTTATGGCGCTGGTCCTGGCCACGCTCCAAATGGCTTCCCTGGCGCCGGGCGAGGCTCAGCTCCTCTCCCACCGGCACCGTCAGGCCTGCCTGCGCGACCTCCTCAGATCCAGGGCGGATACACGAACCCTGCAGACTTCCATCCGTCCCACTTCCGCCCTCCCTCAGGGGGCCCTCCTGGCGGTGCTCCTCCGCCGCAAGGCTTCCCGGCAGTCCCGCCTCCTGGTTTTCCAGTGCCTCCTCCAGGAGCTTCAGGGACGCCTCCAGTGCCTCCTGGATTCATGCCACCTCCTGGATTCCAGCCTCCGCCAGGCTTTGGCCGCCGATGAGATGAGACGTGCCAAATATCCGTTCCTAATACATCTTCTTAATAAATAATACCTGGTTCAAGTAGCAAAGGACAGTGACTTCAATCAGGTAAGAGGAGGGCCAAAAGAATGCCATGAAAACACACAATTACTACAGACTTCTAATTTTTCTGGGGATTTTTAAAGGAGGAAACCATATTAAAAAACAGCGCCCTCGAGGACTCTTCCTCATCTAGCAGTGTCCCACGACCCTTTTCCTCCCAAGTATAATAATGGCCAGGATCTCTCTGGTCAGGTATCGTACAGATTTTTTTTTTTAATCTTTCATATATACCAGGATGCCTGCTGTATAAAAAGCCATCCAAATTTCCCTTCTGGGCCAGAAATCATGTTCTAGTGAAACAATGGGAGGAAAACCACAGAAAGAATAAAACACCAGTCAAAACCCTTTGAACTCCCTCTCCCCCCTGTACAAGAACGATTCCTTCGCAAAACAATTATATCTTTTCTTGGTCCTTTTTACACGAAAGACACTTCTCACAAGCTGCGGGAAAACGCATCTCTGGCTTCCTCGGTAGCCTTGTCCCACTCTTGTTTGGCTTCTTCTCTCTGTCCCTGCACCTCATACGACTGCGCCAGCATGCCGTCTGCCACGCTCTGCCACAGTACGTTGCCGCTCCTTTCCGCTTGCTTGGCTGCCGCTCGAGCGCTCTTGAGTGCCTGCTCGCCAATGACGTTTTCGAAGAAGCGGCTGCGCATGATACAGAGCGTGACGGCGGCTCCGAGCACGTTACTAGTGACCTTGGAGCCAGCCATGGCAGCGTGGATGTGCTGTTTTTGTTGGTTGAGCTGCTGAGGGGGATCCGTCACAAGGGCCGCCATGACGTTGTGCCAGGCAGTCCGGAGATCGATGTTGTTGTGGTTGGCACAGTGAGGCTGAAGCTGCTCGATGAGATCCAAGGTTTCCTGGTCGTTTCGACAAGACGGGTGCTGCATGATCCAAAGCCTATTCAGGCCCGCAAGCAGCGCAATCTCCTGCTGTCCGGCCTTGATCCCGGTGCTTCCTTGCTGATGGACCTTGAAGCGGTCATCTAGGAAGATGTCCACGGCGGCTTGGAGGCTGCCGATGCCCTGGTGATATACGCCTTTTAGATAGGTCGAGAGCAATCTCACAGTAGGCTGTGTTGAGGGAGAAACAAAAGACTCAAGATTCTGAACCATTTGCTTGACCGTTGCCCATTGACAGTGACTTGCCGCCACCAATCCCAGGAGAACAGTCAGGTAAGCCTGAGCTTCTATCCGCCAGGCCCGCTGCTTAATCGCCACGTTCAAGGGGATGGGGGCGCCGTAAGGTATACCAGCCGTTGAAGCGTCCCCTACCAAGTGTCAGCAAACCGCATTGCAAGTAATAGTGTGTGTGCAGTAGACTTACATGTCTCGAGTATCTTAAGGCCTTCCTTCCAGAACTCTGTTGATCTACGGCCTTGTGAAGAAGGCTTGTGAAAATTGGCCAGGCCGCTAATGGTAAATCTACACCAGATAGTTAGCTTTCCGTCGGTGATTATGCGGCCACAGACGGGGTAGAATAGTAGATATCCTATAATGAGCACGTACACGAGCGATCTCAGCTCCATCTTTGTCATAAACGTCATGACCAGATAATCCATCTCGCCCTCACCCTCGCCCAGCCGCAGAATAGCCTGAGTATCATCGCTCACAGTCCTGGCCGCAGAAGACTCCTTCTTGATAGGCACGAGAAAGTCAGACTTGACATTATGCCATTCTTCGCAATCGTCCAGGCACACCTGCAGCTGCCGTAGCTTCTGAGCCGTATGGTCTGGGTTCTGGTGGTGTAGACTTGCGGCGACCTCAAGCAGCAAGGTCAGCATGGTGAGCTGCGTGATTTGCACCGACGGGTCGAACTGGTATTTGGCCACTTGTGCGATACAGGCCTGGATCTTCTCCATGTTGCCATCCTTGGTCGTCTTGAGGAGAGTGAAGCCTTCTATTAGTGAGGCGAGAACAGAGAGCGCGGTGTCGCCTCTGGTGTTGGCGACATTCTGGATGGCTCGTATGTTGTCGAGGGCGCCCGTGTCTGATACGCTTCCAATATCAAGATAAAAGGAAGCTTTTAATAAGCGGAACGCATAGTACCATTGCACATGCTTGAATCTGGATATCCTTGTCAGCTTTGGCCGGTATTCAAGGGAAGGAAACATGGCTTACACTTCGCAGTTAGATATGTGACCGTCTACCGCTTTTAACGCCGCTTTGTGATTTCTTTGGAACAGAACCTTGAGCATGAGATACTGCATGCAATATTTAAGGTCAAACAGGCGGTGCTAGTATTTCCTTCATGTTAGCTGGCTGCCCTCTGAAAGGAACCGAATCGAAATCTCACGACTCACCTTGTCGCAAAGCGGAATGCCCTTTGCCAGAGCCGTCTCCGCCTCCATTAAATTCTCCGTCTCTTCTTGTAAAAGAGCGGCGTATCTTAATCGTACGCGCGCCTCTTCCCGCGGCGCAAGCTGGGGATTGCTCTGCAGCGCAGCCTCTAGACATGATAATGACGTCGCAATCAGCTCTTGGTATTCGTCGACTTGGTTCGGACATAGAGTCATGGCCACGTCGTGAGAGGCGTTACGCGCCTTCTCGATGCATTCTTCCGCAATGGCAATCATCAAAGGCGCCGTGTTCACGGGCCGAGGTTTAGGTGTCACTGCGGGCGACTTTTTGGTGATGCTGGGGGATCTCATGGATAGTGAAGGTGAGTTGGTGACTGAGGAATGCGGGCTGCGTTTGATGCGGGCGTCAGGAACTTGCTGAAACACTCGGGTTGCAATAGAATCATCCTCTTGCTTTTCCTGCTTGATCGCTGCACTGGGATACAGGGGTTTGACAATGACAATTTCCTGCGGTTTGACAACGACAGTCTCCTTGGGTTTTTCTTGGCTGGTGACGGATACAATCGGCGAACTCGTGGTCGTTGATATAGGTAGAGAAGTAATCGACGGCTGCTTCTGGATATCTTGAAGATTGACATAATGCATCGGCTCTTGCTGGAAGAGTTCTGAAGGAGACACATATTGAGGAGGTTGCGGCGGCTCAGGAAGCAAATCCTGCTGGCGCTGCTCAGCGATTTGGCTCGGTTGAGGTATGGGAGGCTGCTCAGCGATCTGGCGTGGTTGAGGTATGGGAGGCTGCGGTTGCGGTTGCGGTTGCGGTTGCGGTTGCGGTTGCGGTTGCGGTTGCGGTTGCGGTTGCGGTTGCGACTGTGGTTGCGGCGGCACCGGTGGTGGTAGGGGTGGCTGTTGCTGTTGCTGTTGCTGCTGTTGCTGCTGTTGCTGCTGTTGCCGAGGCTGCTGAGGCTGCTGCTGAGGCTGCTGCTGAGGCTGCTGCTGAGGCTGTTGAGGTTGCGAATAGTGTTGATGTTGCTGCTCTGCCTGCTGTTGTCGCTGTTGTTGTTGGTGCTGCTGCTGCTGCTGCTGCTGCTGCTGCTGAACTTGCGGCGCCAGTTGAGGTGCCGGTTGAAGCACAGGCGACTGATATTGTATCGGTTGCGGATTAGACGGCGGTCGTGTCGGCGGCAGCGCGTGGCTTCTTACGGGCGACGGCTGTGGAGGAAGGGAGGGCGCAGGCGAAGGTGTATGATTATGATATATCGGAGGAGGTTGATGGCGCGGCTGTTGGCGCTGGACCTGGTGAACTTGTTGGAGAGGCTGCTGGTGTTGCTGTAACTGCTGGTGAGGGAGAGCCTGGTGCTGCATCGGCTGCTGCGTCATGGCCTGCTGCTGCGTCATGGCCTGCTGCTGCTGCTGGTGGTGATGCTGTTGCTGCTGCTGCTGGTGATGCTGTTGCTGCTGCTGCTGCCAGACGTTGTTCGGCGGCAGATATTGGCCCGACGGCGGGAGGTGGTGGCCGCCGCCCTCGTAGTTGGCGAAGCCGTTGAAGTTGACGCCGTACGGCGACGGCTGGTGGAACTGCTGCGGCTGCATGTACATGCCGTGCTGAGGTTGTTGCTGAGGCTGGTAGAACTGCTGCTGCTGCTCGTGGCCCATGGCGCCGGGATACATGGACTGCTGGCCATGGTGGAGCTGCTGCTGCTGGTTATGTTGCTGTTGCTGTTGCTGTTGCTGCTGTTGTATCTGCTGCTGCTGGAAGTGATAGCCCGCAGCCGGGTGTGCGTACATCTGCTGGTGATGGTGGTTGTGGTGATGCTGCTGCTGCTGGTCTCCCTGGCCAGGAAAGGCCTGTCCCGAAGGCAGCGTCCCCCGGAACGACATCGCACCGTCAGCATCTGCCGCTCGTCTTGCTGGTGGGAGAATGAAGCCCTGCGCAGCCAAGTCTCATGTCATGCTGCTTTCCGCCTCGTCGTCGACTTCATTGGCTTTTTCTCTCTCTCTTTCGTTGTCGTCGCTCGATCAGCGCGCTGCCATTCGGAGAGCGAGCGCGTGTGCTTTTTTGACTCTCGTCGAAGCCGAAACCCGCTGTGAACAGGGCCTTTTTCTTGTTTCGTCTTTCTCCAATCGTCGTGATCGCGCGTCGCGGAGGTAAAGAAAAAGTGAAAAGAAAACGGAATGGAAAAGGCAAAATCTGGGATTCTTTTCCCCCCTTCTGGCTCCCTCCGGCTCGCAAAGGCTCGACGTTGTAAAGTTTCGCGGCTTAGTGGTTGAACAGAATGCGGGATCACTGTGCGAATCAACGCGCGCGCCAGAAGGCCGTTCTATCACATGGTTGGCTCAGCTGGATTCAGCGGGCCGTCTGTCCCGGTACCAAGTACACGTACTGCGCAGATCCGGATGTGCTTTGACGGCACCCGGATGCGACTCTAAGTGTTGCCATAGGTTTTAGTGCTATTTGAATTGAGAGAGAAAAGACATTAGTCGGAAAGCTTGGTAGAATAACTGAATGATTTTAGTTTGACAACGACCATGTTCCATGTAGGAACTGTGCTGAATGGTATTGCCCTTTAAAGAGGTACCTGACATCGTAAGTACCTGTACGAAGCATTGCAAGGCTATCAAGTTGGAGGGAGTGTCAGTTTTGAGCAACTTCTACGGAATAGGGCTAGTACAGGGTCGTCTTCTTAAAGGGCTTGAATATTCACTCTTGGGACATTATCATGATGCTCATGGAACACTCATAGGCGTATTTGCGTGCATGTATTGAAACAAGATTTAAACACAAGGTATAACTAGGTAGTTAGGTAGTGTGGTCTGATGGACGGCTTCTGCTTGCCGTGAGCTTCATTGGTAAGTTACATGACATACATTGCAGCGTAACAACATGATTCTTCAAACGCGTAACAATGGACCCCATTCTGGCGGTCTTTACACAAAATCAAGAAGAAGAAAAGAAAAAGTAAAAGAAAAAAAGAAAAAAACAAATCGTAGCTAAACGCCGTGACATGCATATGCACCATATACCGCCCAAAATCACCACACTTTTTGTTGCGTAAGGAAAAATGTGGAGGCCCAAAAGGGGACCGAGAATATCAACATTACACACATGTCCACTCAGCAAACACGCACCATCGAGCGGTGCGATCTGCCAGCACCAGGCCTCGCCAAACGCCCCTCTCAGAGCACTTGATGATCGTCTCCCAGGTGCCGCCGTCGCTGACCTCTTCGTCTGGGGTCCGCGATCCAACGCTGATCCCCTTGCGCTCCTCCTTTCTCATAAGACGAAGAATCTTGCCTCCCGGTGTCTGGATTGCCAGCTTGGCAGGCTTCTTTCCCGCAACGGTCCCGCTGGCTGAGCTGGGGTTCGACCCGCTCGCGCTGGAAGCGTTGACACTCATCGCCGAAGATGGCCGAATGAAGGGAATTGGGCTGGCCGATCCAGGATTCGACGACGGTGTGAGAGGCCCGTCTGAAATGGAGCTGGGGTGCTGTCTGATAGCAAAGACAAAGGTATTGTTCAGAGCCAGTTGCTGACACTGAGGTTGGACAACATAAATATCATGCCTCTGTGCGTGAGGCGTCGGATGTCGCGTAACAAATTCATAGGGCGGATTTTCGCCCGCGTGGATGATGGGTAGAGTAAAGGCCAAAGGATGGGGAATATCCTTGATGCTTTGCATCAAGCCCCTTTTCCCGGCATAGACTTTCAGCATGCCCTGGCCTTCGTCACCAGGGAGTAGCGCCTTGACTGTGTAGCGCTTCACACCATTGAACCACTCAGCCTGCGCCAGCGCCTTCTTCTTGACGATATCACCATTCTCAAATAGATCGCCATCATGGTCCTTTGATAGTGCTCGTGCTTCAACTTCGGCTGCAATCTCAACGTCGGCCGGTACGTTAAAGTTGATGTGGACCATCTCAAGATCTTCTATCCTGGTCAGACTAGTGTTAAAGTCAACCAGCTCGATGCCGTTCTTGAAGTATGCCGGGCATGTGCATGGCAGGTTGAGCAGCGTGTCATAGGCTACTGGGGGCACAATATGCTGTTGGTCGTGATGCTCCGGCACATGCGTCCAGCACAGCTCAGTAGGCCGTGTGAGGAACCACCAGGTGTCTGCCGAGGATCCGGAGACGCTGGAGTAGAGGGCACGTTTGGGGTTCGAGGGACTTGCTAGACAGGTGTCAATCATGCGCCATTCGTCGTCGACAATAACTGCGTTCCACCAGTGGTTGGATCTGGGCATCACATTAAGGTCGGGAATGTCGCCTGGGGCTTTCAGGTAACCCCTTACAACCTCGCAGTGCAGCCCAATGGCAGAACACATTTCCATCACAAGGCAAGCATACTCCTCTGCGCAGCCTCTCTTTGCATGGATGGTTCGCTCGGTGTCGGCGTCACCCTCGAAATCTTCTTCCCAGGTGATCTTCTCTGCCACCCAAGTAAATATCGCACGAAGCCGTTGTAGATCGCTCCTGTACGGCCTGCAGATGTAAGTCTGTGCGAGCGTCGCCACCGTCGTCCCCTGAGGCGGCTCTTTTATGAAACGGGAATTCTTATCCACCTGGGCGAGGTTTATCATGTGGTAATTCTCTGGCTTATGAACGGGCATGCCGTCCGCCCCTTCGTCACCTTCGATGCCCTCATAGAGCTCATCGACAGGATTGAGTGTGGGGTGGTCTTGCATCTGGCAGCGCTCCCTGCGCTCGGTCCGCTCGATCTTGCTGACGGAATTGGAGCGGTTGACATCTCGGCGGACTTGGACCCAGTCGATGGCAGCGCCAAGGCCCATCTCCCTGGCGGCATCGCGTCTGGAGCGAGCGCCGCTCAGCGAGAGCATGCTGGCTCCGGGTGCCACACTATGCGGTTGCTGCAGGCGAGCAAAGGGCGAGGACCTCACAGTGGGCACATGGCCAGCGGCGATGCTGCCCCGGTTGCTAGCGACGCCCGTCTTAGCAGAGTCGAGGATCTTCTTGAAGATGTTTCGTTTTGGTGATTTGGGCGCGACAAGTCCGCCCAATCCAGGGGTACCATCTTCGTGAATGCCAACCTGAGATATCGGCCGAGAAAACCCACTTCCGCTACCACCTCCGGCATAGTTGCTAGCATGACTGCTGTGGTAAGTCACGCCGGTAAACGGCGAGTCAGGACGGTCCCCTTCATCGTTGCGCATGCTAAACGAACTCTGAGCACGGTGGGCGGTCCGAGCCAAGCTTCCGGCGCTTGTCGCACTAAAACCACCGGCAGAGACGCCGCTCCAAACGGTCCTGTTTGTACTCTGGGTCGAAGAGCTACTGTTGCTCTGATTACCGGTTGACGCATTCGTTTGGGTCGTTTTTGTCGTATTGGTGCGCTCGATACTACCCACTGCTCTATCATAAGGATATTTTCGTCCCCGTGTCCTTTTATCCATGGTAACCAACTCTCCTACAGTTGATCCGGTGGACGATTTTGGGCGTGAATAAGGATGGCCCTTTGGCGGTGGGGGTGGGGGTTTATCGTCATCGTCATCGTCGTCATCTTCATGGTTCACCACGGCTGGCATACTCGAGCTGTGTTGGTGCATTCTCTGAATCTGTTTCTCCATCCTCTCCACGTAATTGCTCAGATGGGGGTCGTAGGGCTTTTCGCGATGTCCATCTTGTTGTGATGCATTGTGTGAAGAATTTCCACTCCAAGTCTCGTAACCTTCGTCAAACGCTATTCCTATCGACGTCAGTGGCCTGATGCGCCCTCGTTCCCCTCGTTCCTTTTGTCTTTGTTGCGGTGCTACCAGGTCGAAAGAATCGGGGGACCAGGGATCAAACGTCCGCTCCAATGCCCTCTCTGGCGACTCCGCCTCGCGACCTCCAATGCCTTCCAAGCGATCTAGCTGCTGCATCACATCATCCATTGCTTCGCGTAATGGTGATGGCGTCATGTGGCTTCCCTCCATAGATGGTCGATGGGAACCTCCACCCCTGGGTGTGTGGTATCCGTTACGCTGAGTCTCATAGCTGGTATCGTTGTAGGAATCGTATGAGGCCTGCCTTGTTAGATCTTGAAGATCAGTGTAAGAGCCGTTGGAATGACGATTTGGACTGTATGGCTCGTACGACATGGCCGAGCCGTGCCTTGGGATATCTGGTCCATTATACGACACGGTAGAACGCATAACGTCCATGGGGTTGTACGAAACGGTAGAGCCTGTTCTTGTTATATCTGCCGGGTTGTATGAAACGGTAGAACCCGTTCTTGTTATATCCGCTGGGTTGTATGAAACGGTAGACCCCGTTCGTGTTATCTCTGCGGGGTTGTATGAAACGGTAGAGCCCTGCCGTGATAGGCTGGATGGATTGTATGACACTGAGGAACCGTGCCTCGATAATGACTGATAGCCCTGTGTCCCTTCATCGGGATCTGCCCGCCCAACATGTCTGTGAGGTGGTGGTGCCGGAGGCGGTGGAGAATCGCTCCTCGTCATATTTTCCAACCGGCTCGGTGGACGAGTCGGTGAGTGACCCATGGAAGGAGCCGGTGAAGGAGCTCTAGATCCATATCCATTTGCCGGTGAGATTGAGGGAGAAGGAGCGCGAGCGATATCCTCATGAGCACTCCTCGCAAGGACAAGAGCAGTACTTGAGGCTGCGGCCGAATTTCCCCTTGATCGCGATGATGTGGTTGACACCCTAGACGGCTTTTCCTTGAGACGCGACGTCGGTGTTTCTCGAAATGTTTCTGGTTGCTTTGCTGTGGTATAATGCGGCGCTTTGGCATATGCCTCGAACGGTTTCCGAAATGTTCGTGATTTTTGCGGCACCGCCTTGGGCCCTGACGCTATATTCGGCGGTATAGGACTCGGTGTTTTTGTTGGCCGGAAGTCTTCTGGTAGCACCTCGACGAAATTGGACGGGAAAGACCCGACAGTCCTCCGATCTCGAAATAGCCTGCCTACCCACCACGAACCGTCTCCAGCATTCAGACATTCGATCAAGTCGCCCTCGATAAATCCTAGGTCGCGTTTTGACTGCAGATATGTTAGCAATTGAGAGCAAGCCAGCACGCGACGTCATATCACAAACCTCGCCTCCCCAAGAATAGATGGCCCGGCACCAGCACGGAAATCGTGAGGGCAGCGGCGGCGGTGATAGCGCCATAATGTTGACAGTTGCGCCACGCTTCAGTCGCCGAATTGACCAGCTCTGAAGTTGTGGAAGAGCAAATGGTCGAAGGAAGAAGGAGAAGGGGGAAGAAGAGAGCGAGAGAGAGAAAAGGGAACAAGGGCAAAAAAAATTATCCCCGTTGTTGTTTATCCCTTGTCTGGCAGCAAGTATCGGGGCGACAGGTGTGTGCAGCTGATGGAATCAATCGACGCGTTCGGCACCTCGCCGCTTCACCGAACAAACCAGGCTGGCCGTCGAAATCTCAGCCCGACAACGCGCAATGGAAAAGGCGCGGCTGGCGATGGATTAGAATAGGCCCAGAATTGAGAGATGGCACATGTCCAAACGCTGCGATCCAACGGCGGCAGCAAAAAGCATGATACCCTGGGCTCTTGTTTATGGCAGACGGGGGGCGGATTGGAATTCTCTTTGTCTCTCGCAGCCCTGGACCTAGACGCAGCACAGAGCAGGAGCAGAGACCCAGCAGCTCAAGGGCTAATGCAAGCTGAGCACAGGCAGAATGGATCAAATGGAAGCTTGTGCAATTGAATGCAATGCAAACTGCAGGTAGGCTAGGTATTGGGTACCAGGAGTTGGGTGCAGGGGGCCCGTGTGTGTCAAGTACGAGTACAGATGAGATGGGTTGGATTGTTCGACAAGGAGCTGTGCGAGAGCTGTGCGAGAGCTGTGCGAATAGTCGGCGAGTAATGGCAAGCAGCGTAGCAATTTGACGTCTGGTCTCGCAGCCGCAGGTCGTGGATTGGGCTGCATCAAGCGAGATTGCAGCAAGGCATGGACGCAGCTCCAAGGTCCAAAGGTCCGCTTCTCAGCATTGTCCCCGTGCTGGAGCTACGCAACTACGGGACTGGCCGACGAAAAGCTGCCGGCGACGCCTTGCAGGGCCCGGGACAACAGAGGGGCAGATGGCCGTTGCCGTGGTGATCGATTTGGAGGTGGCTGGCGGAAGGGAGCGCGGCCCCTCGTGTTAGCGCCATGCGCTGTGCGATGGCGCTAACAACGCCTGTGATCAACTGTAAGACGAAGGGAAGCCTGCGAATGGCGAGCCAGATCTTTGGGTGGCTGGGGGGAGGGGGATCGAGGCGCGGTTCCATGGCGACGGGCTGCAGCAGAGAAGAGCCTCCCTTTGGCTTTGGTGTGTAAGTTTGAGTTTGATTGAATGTCTATCTATGTCTCCGGCCCAGGTACGAGTACATAAGGTACGGAGGGCTGACTGCGAGAATAAGGTAGCGGCCGCCGAAGAAAATTTGCTGAAACGTGTGGATTACGTCAATATGGAGATTGCTAGGCGCTACATGAAATGCTGGTGGCTCAAAGCACTAATGCCAATGTACTAAAGCATCGAGCAGCATTAATGCCTGTACAGCTGAGCACAGCTCCATCCAATCCTCCACTGCAAGAATGAGGCCCTTACTAATTGACGTATTCTGAGGTACTGCGCTGGGCTGACTGTTAGGTACACCACGTCCATCCATTTTCCCGCCCACACCCCGATATGCACTATGGGTTGCCGTGCAGCAGAAAGCAGGCAGAATGCACTGCTTTCGTGCATTGGCGTGAGCAACAAGCTGCATGTTTGTTGATCCCTCCTCAGCTTTATCAGCCGCGCATGCATGACTGTTTATCGCAGTGCAGATGTCCATCATAATATTGTCGAAATTTGAAAAGTTATCAACAGCATAGCATTGACGTGATGGATCCATTAAACTTCAATACAAACTTAGTACCTGTAGGTTCCAATTAGTGGCCCTTGGGCGCTTGGGCTGGCGGGGGGAATTCTTTTCCAAGAAAAGCTATCCCAAAGCGGCCTATGGTAAACAAATCTACCCCTAGCTGTCTGCAGACTCCACTGCCCCGGACAACCGTCCATTTGTTCACTCTTTAACCTTGACTGCAAAGCAGTTAGAATGCTACTACTATTTGCCGTTTGTATATTAAACTAGGGCTCCTACGGTTACGTACTGTTGACGCCTTGTTATCCGATCGCTCTTGGCTTCCTTCGGCTCGACATCTGCCGCAAGTTCCACTGTTCGCTGCTTAATCCCGATAGACGCCAATTTCGACTTCCCACCAGCGCGGCCCTTGCGCATATTGCCTTGCCTGCCCTGTTTTGTTTAATTGCGCCGGCATCTGGGAGAGTACGAACACAAAAGGGAAGGGCAATATCGCTTGACCCTTCGCCAGGATGGCTGATGACGAGAGTCTCGCGTCGGACTACCAGGTGTTGGAGGAACTAGGCCGTGAGTCCACTCTTGTTGACGGTTTGCTTGCTCGCACGACTAACGCTTGTTTTCTAGGCGGGAGTTTTGGAGTTGTTTACAAGGGAATCGATAAGATCACCGGAGAGACTGTGGCCATCAAACATGTAAGACCTGCCCTGGATTGTCTGTTTTCATGGCCCTTATTCCAATCACACAAGGGGCAGTGGACTAACGGGACCGTGTTGCGTAGATTGATCTTGAGTCCAGCGATGATGATATTCAAGACATCCAGGCCGAGATTGCTGTCCTCAGTACCTGCGCCAGCCCCTACGTGACCCAGTACAAGGGTTCGTTCCTACGAGGTCACAAGCTATGGATTATCATGGAATACTTGGGTGGCGGATCTTGTTTGGATCTGGTAAGTCGACATCACTGCTCATTCTCTCGTCTCGACTTCACTTCTAATCAACCATCATTTCTAGTTAAAACCGGGAAACTTCACTGAGGCGCACATCGCCATCATCTGCCGTGAACTTCTCTATGGAATCCAATATCTGCATAGCGAAGGCAAAATCCATCGTGATATCAAGGCGGCAAACGTTTTGCTATCAGATAATGGCAAGGTGAAGTTGGCTGATTTCGGTGTCGCCGCCCAGCTCACCAACATCAAGTCTCAACGCAACACCTTTGTGGGCACTCCGTTCTGGATGGCTCCTGAAGTCATTCAGCAAGATGGCTACAGCTTCAAGGCCGACATTTGGTCTTTGGGCATTACTGCAATGGAGATGGCCAATGGAGAACCTCCTCTCTGCCACATCCACCCGATGAAAGTGCTCTTCCAGATCCCCAAAAACCCACCACCACGACTGGCAAATCACTTTAGCAAGGAATTCCGGGATTTTGTGGCCCAGTGCCTAACCAAAGAGTGTGGTCGTCGGCCCAGCGCTAAGGAGCTGCTTCGGCACAGATTTATTCGCTCAGCTGGCAAAATCGAAGCTCTCCAAGAGCTAATCATGCAAAGGCAGATGTGGGATGCTAATCAAAATCGCCAAAAGCATCCGATTTACTATCAAGAAACCTTGCAAACAATCTCAACCAAAAGTGGCAACGATGAAGCATGGGTGTTTGACACGGTGAAGTCGGTAGTCCCACCGAAGCGGCCAACTGTCAAGCATCATCGCAAATCATCGTCTGTACTCTCAGCTGCCGAGGAAGGATTTCGCAAGCTGGACATCAATGAACGTCCTCTGGGTTCTTCATCACCTTCGTCGCCAGCTGTTAGCACTATCCGAAAGTCAACAGTCCGGCGTACACCTTCCATCATGCAAGTTCCCGCGTCATATGCCAACGGCTCTCCCCGAGGCTCAATCATTGCTCCTAAACGACCTCTTCAGCCCGACATGTCTTTTGGCAATTCGGGATCGACTATGCGTCTATTTCGAAGAGTTTCGTCAGAGGAATCGGCCGGTGCGCTCGTGGTCAGATCTACAACCCCAGATGATGACGTCTTTGTCGACGAGAATGTTCCTCCACCTGCGGCTACGCCGGTCGAGCCCAATAGCAGAGAAGCTCTCTTGGGGCGAAGGCTATACTCTAAGGCAGTGGAGCCCACTCTTGCAGAGCTTCATGCACAAACTTCGACCATGGCAAAGCGGGAGGCGCTGGCCAAGCTATCCGAAGCCTTTGCAGCATTGGACGCCGTTGATCCCGAGGGATCGTACCATCTTATGAACAACCTGATCACTGCCATGAGCCAGGATAACAAGTTGAATACAGCAGTACTGCGTCAGTCTGTACAAAAAATCCCAGATGATGGCACTCCACAGGGAACAGTGGTCGTTAAAACCTCGACCCCATCACCGAGCCCTGCCAAGTTGGCGCTGAGCTCCTCCACAAACCCTAACTTCAGGAGCCATCGCCGGCGCCAACTCGAGTCACCTGTATCAAAGGAGAGTCTGAGAGATCAGGACAAACAAGCCATCGAAGACAAATATCCTGGACGGGAAACCCAATCAGGCATGGAGCACTGCAAGCAATTATCCGACGTACTGTACAACCGGTGGGCCGATGGCCTGCGGATCCGCTGGCCAGCTATATGATCCAACAACTGCTATTTGCAAACAATTTTTTGCATGTACCTGAATAATGCGATTTGAAACGAGTTTAATGGATGAAGTGATAATGTTGAGTTTCTCTTGGGAGGGGATTTGTCAACAGTTTGACACAATTTCACGCGCGATATAATGAATTTGGCATATCGAGTCCCGTCCCCCGGATGAGGAGCAACTATTAGAAGGATGAGGCGTTCAGGATCTTCGTCTAAGATACCTATTTTGACCTGAAATTTGCTACTGGTAGAGGCATTGGAGCACGTATGGGTGCTGTCTCTTTTCTATGTTCTATTCTTCTTCTTCTCTTCTTTTCACCTTTTTACACCCTTTTTTTCAACTTTGTTCGATTTGTTTTTTTTTCCCCAAGGGTCGAGGGAACGGGCGTCTGATAGGATGATTGATTTTGATTCGCTATTCGGAATGTACGTATGGATGTATGTAAACATGTAACCCAACATAATGGAAGGATATCTCATGGTCGAATCAACGTAAAACTGGCGTTGACAACTGCAAAAACGCCGTGATATACATTCGTGTCTTATACAGACTGTTGTACTCCCTTCATTCGAGAACAATTAATTCATTATTACACCCAAAACATTTCAAGATTCACTTGCGCCCAGGGCCAACTTGATTCTCCAGTCTTTAAACTCGTCCGTCAAAATATCGCCATGTCCTGTTTCTTCCGCCTTGTAGACCTCAATGACGGGCGAATGGGCCCGTCGAGATATTCTCCAGACTCCTTCGTCATTGACGACTTGCATGAGCCCTAATTATAAATTAGTATAAGCGAGAGAGATAGGGAGGTAAAGACATACACTCCAAGAAAGCGGCTGCAAAATTCACACATATATCTGCGTTCCAGGCGGCGTTCGAGCGCGCATTTACCGTCTGCGGGATCGACTGCGTCTCAATCTCCTTGATGTCGACGAGGATGCCGTCCGGCGTGCGGAAGCCAACGATAATTTTTGGGACGCCAAGAAGAAATGATTGGATCCAGTACTTCATGAGCTTGCGGTGAAATTTTTCGATATCGCCGCCGTGGCGGATCTCGGCGCTTGTCTTGAGCTCAACCCAATTGATAGGTTTTCCTTTCTCTTGGGGCTTGCTGTCCCATACTATTCATATAACGGTTAGTCAGAGTCGATGGCCAGGGTAACTGGTATGACAATAACTTACTGGCATCGACTTCTCCTCCTAGACAGAGCACAGCCTTACCGATGCCAGTCCGCACAACGGAGCAGTATTGCTCCTTGTTATTGACGACATGTTTATCTCTGTTTTCAATAAAGTCTCTCGATGTCTCTGCCCATGGGGCAGGAAGCGTTGACAAGGTCTCAAACTTATATCCTTGTATTGGTCAGCAGGAGATGATATAGCGGATGGCGTTGAGATTAACCCCAAAATTGCATGACATCAAGAGGAGGTCCCCTTCTAGGTTTCCCGCGATCCTCATTCTGTCTCGAGAGCATCTTCTGTGCGTGGTTGTCTTCGATAAAACTGTTATTGGCGTCAGAAGCCAGGTTGCTAAGTTATAGTTTGCACCACCTACATGGTTCCCTAGAGATGGATTGTGTTAGAGATATGAATCAGGGCCAAGCAAGGTGAGATGAATAGATATACCTGGTATAATGTTGCATTCATTTCGAAGCTGCATATGTCAGGCCATTGGTCTCATGCTAGAAGAGGAAAGGGAGTTGCTACCCGTCATATTGCTCAAACGGCGCAGCCAATATCTATATTGTCGTTAGTTCTAACTGCTGCTATTCCTATGACGGGCAATGAACTGCTAAGTTCATAAAGTCTTTTCTTACTTTGGTCATCATGCCTCTCCATGTGACGACATTCGCATCTATCTTAACTCCGGTCTCTTTCTCGTGTAATACAATGGCTTTTAGTAAGCTGTCGAGATGCTCATCTTGGGAATCATCGTGTTTCACAAAGGTATTGAACCCTAAGGACAAGTCTGCCCCAAGCTGTGGAGGATAGTAATACTTGACTGACGAATCGTCAGGGCGAAATTCATGGTTCTCATCAAAAGAAAAGCAAGAGAATTCCTATTCACAAATTATGTAAGCTTAAATCAGCGGTTGCCAGTGGATTTGTTGCGTCGTGATTCGGCACAGCGCAGCTTCTTCCGTCTTCCATACCTTTGGTCTCTTGACAGGTTGGCTGGCTCCTACAAACCGCCCTATCGGCTGGATGGAGAAGTTGGACGCCATGTCAAAATCTGCGGGCGCGACACGTATCACGCGTCGTCATATGTTCTAATCACGTCATCCAGATGAAAAGGACTGCATGGGCGACGGACCGATTATGCAGGAAAGCAGACGAATCGAGATGGCCTTTGATGTGAGAAGTGAGGCGAGAACAAAGTGAGGCCGAGATCGAAGACGCTTGCGAGATGCAGGTGTGCTTCTAGCGCGTTTGCAGGCTGGGGTCTGCTAAAATCATGGGGACTCGGGGGGTTGAGGTACCTGGAGGTTAGGGGTACTTTGCACATTAGGTACTCCAGCAAGTCACCTGAGGTAGCACTACAGATCTGCAGCCCGACAGGTTGAGAAGCCGGAGACGGCAAGCCGTGCAGCTTTTATGCAGCCAAGCTGATCGGAAATGCATCCAAGACGCCACCGCAGCTCATTGCCGAGCTAAAAAATGTTTAATTGATCAAATTGAGAGTTTTTGGTTACATTTTCTGACCAGGGCTTTTGCATTTAGGCGTCGAGGCCCGGAGACTTTTATTCTTTAAGCAGCGCCGTTTGCACATGAGCCGTGGAGAGGATTCAACAGTCCATATAGAGGGTAATGTCCATACTGAGACTACAATTTATTATTATTTGCTATTGAACATGTTGTTTCGTTTTACCATAATGGCCCAATTTTCTATCTTGAGAGATGGCAGAGACATGGAATATGCCACCTAGCAGTCATAGAGAGGATGCCTAATATGCCGTACGACGCTCATTAGGCACCTGTAGAGCTATGGACATGAGGCATCATCAAGCCATGGCATCAAATCTCCCTGTTGCAAGTACGTGGCTCGAAATAGAACTCTTAACGTAACCGTTCGTCTGCCATCTTTGCTCTAAATTAAGAATCAAGGTCATTTGACAACTTTACCAGGCACCAATAGTCAGTGATGTTGTTGAATGTTCAGTGCAATTATTTGTCTTCGCCATTGATAGATGAGACGATGTAGTGCTTCCAAGCTGTTTCACTTTCAGATCAGAATCACAGCAAGTAGTCAGTGAATCCATGGTCACAGTGCTCCGCCATGCATGCCGGCCAAAGGTGAACAGGAAATGACTTTTCCTTTGTTTGTCCAGCTCTGTGCACTAATGTAGACGTGCGCGACCATTTCCCTCTCTTATCAAATACCCAAAAAGTGTTTGTGCTAGCACTACCTGGAGTACATAAGGGAGGGGCCGGGTGACGGCAAAGAAAGTTCTCTTGAGGCTCAAGCGAGATTCTTTCTTCTTCAACCTTTCAACCTTCATCTTCAGCCTTCACCATATTAACTCTCTGGCCTTTGATTTCAGCCAACACGTTCTAGGCCCAGCTGCTCAACTGCAATACTTCTTGATTTTTATCTTATCTCTGCAAATTATCATCCGTATCTTCCACAGAAGTGTTACCAACTACTACATCCGTGCCATTTCGTTCAGTCGCGATACGATACGAACGAATTCGAGATCCAGCCTCGTCCTCGCATCACCAACAGCAAGCCTCAGCGGTCTCACACTGTCCCCTGTCAGCGTGTGCCTTTGCAGCTTTCGCCTTGTCTCGCCCCGCCAACGCACGTCGCTACCAGGAATTTAGAGGTTGGCGCCTCCACGTGATTAGCCAACCAGCTCCCTTGCAAAGACTCCTGTCGCATCGCCCTGTCCGACCTTCTCAAATCGTCGTTGGTGGGCCGCTGGCGCACCTCAGCCTCGCCTCTCCAATTGCTGCGTGAGCTCGACTTACATCCTTTGCAAGCGTCGAGCGCCGTGCCCGCCAGACGTTTGGCCCAGGCCGCCCGGCTTACAGAAGCAGCTTCAGTGCCGAGAAGCTGTTTCGCCCTCTCCAGCTTCAAAGGCAGACATTCTCTATCCGCTGTGTCGTCTCATTCAGGCCAATGCCGAAGGCACGTAAAGGCTCATCAAAGAAGTCCAAATCTCGCAAAAGGCCCGCTGCCGCCCAAGACGAAGGCTGGTACACCATTAGGCGTATTCTTGATGAGAGGACCGTAAAAGGTCGCGTCGAATACCTGGTTGACTGGGACGATAATACCGTCACCGGGCAACCCTATGATCCGACTTGGGTTTGTCTAACACGATGCTCTCCACTTACATGCGCTGTGCGGATGCAGAACTTTTTACTAACTTTCATGTGCCGCAGAGCTCTGAGGTTACAAGTATTGCCAGAGTGGAATGGGAAAAGGTCAAGGCTCGGCGTCGCGGAGAGGACTATCAGCTTGAACAGCAGCTTGAGCAACAGCTTGAACACCACTTTGAGCCGGAACCAGGGCCGGACCCGGAGCTAGACCCGGAGCAACAGCTGCAAGATCGCCAGCAGCCAGAACAGTCAAGCGAACAGGAGCCAGAAGCGCAACCAGAGCCCGCATCAGATCAAGAGAGCGACAACAGCCAACCGCCCCGGCCTGCTCATCAGCGGCACATCAACAAGGCCGGCTCAAAGAAGCGGCGACGCTCAGCCTCCTTGATTTCATCATCTTCCACCTCATCCCCTATTCGGCCCCGTAAAGCCCCCAGGAGTGACACCTGCGGATCTCTATATGACGAGCCTCTAGCATCTCTCGTATCGTCGCCTTCAATCTCTACGCCCTCCGAACTCCCAGAGCTGCCTGACGTAGATCTCTCAGAACATCGTTCGCGAGCTACTTCTCTGGTGGTGGTAGAGATTCCCAAGAACTCGAATCTCAACCCGGCTGATTACTTGAGTGTCCTCGGGTCGCAATCAAGCGGCAAGTCTACGCAGTCGCTGGCCGAACTTGAAAACGAAGACAGCCGCGTCGCCATTGCGCGGAACAGCCAAGGAACTGTTCCAGATTCGCAGGAGATTACAGATCGATCTTGGACCCAGCAGCATATTCCAGCCGAATTGCCACCATCTTCCAACCGATTGATTAAGTCCCAACTTCAAGACATCGTACCTGAATCTAGTTCTCACATCATTCCGGACTCTTTCGAGGCACCTTCAAAACCGATATCACAGGAACCTGATAAGGAAACCGAAGAGCGACACGACTCCTCTCTGTCTAATCGTAATTCCACTGATACGGCATCCGAGGACCGCATTCAAGAGTCACATGCGACTGTCAGTTCAGACATTCCTTCTCGCCAGCCCGATCAGTTAAGAGAGGTTCCAGGAGCCGGCAGCCCAGTTCTGTCTGAGTCGTTATCACACAATACGCCCGATTCCCGTGATCGGCAGCCTCTAGCATCATCAGGGTCCGCCAGATCTATACATACACAACCAGAAGCAAGCCCCCGGTTTCTTAGTCAACCATATTTTGCGACCGTATTAGAGAACCCAGAGAGTTCTATACCTAGTCGAATCTTCGAATCACCTGCTCATCCCACTGCGGAGATTGCCTTTTCTTACAGCTCTGGCACTCTATCTGCGTCGGACCAAGGGGTTTCTCAAGCTGCTCAGATAGTTTCTCGCGATTTCGAGGCACCGACACAACAACTTACAGAGAGTAAATCTCAAGAAAGTCCAGCCCAGTCTGGCTCAAATCGCCGTCGTATCAACGGCCAGAAGGATCACACTCATATCCCCGCCTCGCCTCGTCCCCGAGAGGCTGCCGATCTCCTGCCACAGCAATCAGCCCCGGCACGCTATATAGGCCATCCTGGAGGCATCTCAGGCTCACCAGCGAACCCAAAAACCCCACTTAATCCATATAAAGGCCAAAAGATGGAAGACGAGACTCCAGAGCAAGCCAAGGAGAGGCGAACCGAGGAGAGGGTTCGCGCACAAATGTTGGACCTCTTCCACATGGACGCCTTTAACAGCGAGGCTATTTCTACGTCCCAGCAGATACCACTCCACCAGACTTTAGCTGAAGAACCCGTTGAGCACCATGCACCGTTAGAGAAAGGCGTATCCAATACGTACACTGAGCTACCTGTGCACTCGGCAGATTTGCCTCACGGCGCTAAAACGCCCGGCAACAAAGAGAAAGAACAAGCCGGAAATGCGGTAGTCGCAGCAGCAACCCAAAGTACGGGAGATGAGAGGGACACAACGACCTCGACATTTGGGCCACAGGTCTCAACCCCACAGGAGCCCGTCGCCGCAGAAGTGGCAGACATATATAGTTCAGCTTTTGTCGGAGCGGAGCTGGAGCCACCACCTGTGGCTGCCCCAGAGTTTATCCTAGCACAACAATCTACAGTCTCCCTTGCTGACATCAGTCGACAACCAGAGCCAGCATACAAAGATATCCCTCTGGTGTCTTTTATCAGCCCGGATGAGACTATGGTGCAAGGACCTTCAACGGATACTGCTCATTCGGAGCAGGTTCAACACGAGCATAGTCCCGCCGAATCATCGGCGTCTTTCCCCCCTTCAGCAGCGGTAGAACATATTGTGACACTCCCTTTCCAAGCAAGCTTGCGTCAAAGGTACAAAGACACCATAGGCGAATTTAGGCCTTCGATGGTGGAGTTTAACAAGTCTTTTAGCGGGGTGGACTACTCGGAGCCAGATCAGCTCCTGGTCAACCAGATTGACGAGTTATTCAACATTTTGTTGAATATATGTGATTATCCCGAAGATGTGGTGGGAAGCGACCTCGAAACTTTACCTCCAGCAGACCTAGCCAAGTATTGCTGTGATGCCAATCCCAAGTTCAATTTCCTCTTTGAGCTTTTGAGCGGCATTATAAAGCATCACTCAAACATCTTGATAATCGCTCGCTCTCCAGACCTCCTCCGGCTCCTTTGTCATTTGGCAGAAGCTCTGAAGATGCCATTCAGTTGCGATGCTATTGGTGAATCGGATCTCTCATCCGGCGATCCATCCAGTTCTAAACTGGTTCTTGCACTTCCGACTGATGATATCGATGCTCGGGAGTTCGATGTCGTGATTGGATACGACCATTCTTTTAGAAACTCGTCCATTGCACAAGGGCTAAGAAGCCCCGACAACAACAGACGGCAGCTTATTTTGGTTCTGGTTACAACTCATTCAATTGAGCATATTGATCTTCAAATATCAGACGGTTTGACTCTGATGGAACGAAAGAGCGTCCTGGTATCTGCAATCGCGGGCGCCCGGGAGCTGGTGGCCAGTCCCGAACGCGGCTACCAAGAGCCACATGAGATTGCCGCCTTCTTCATAGAATACCTCGAAAGCGGTCAAGACACGCCTCTATGGGATGCGATTCCTGTCCCAGATTATATTCTTGACGTGTATGAACACTCCCAATCGCGGTCACAGATGCCGACATTTCCCCATCATGAGCAAGAAAGCGGTCGCAAACGCAAACATGTAAGTAAATCTCAAAAGGTGGTGGAAACCGCGTTGTCAGCGTGACTTGCTAATACTATATGATGGACTCATAGAACGAATCGGATGTTTTTGAGACTAAGAGACCACGGGTGCTTTCTACAAGTGAGGCGATGGCAGCGATTGGAACAGGCCAGGCTCCAGTATCCGACGAAGTGAAAGCTATGCTGGCTCAGTATACCACCGCAATAGGGGAGTCTTCTCGACCACCAATACGGATCGAAGTTCCTCTTGCATCATTACAGAAAATGGCTGAAATGGTACGCTTCCATTACCACTGTCATTTGTGTGGATGTCTGGCTAATGGTGTATAGTTTGCCGAGTACGAGCGTCGCCTAGAAGCTGCTGATCGCGGCGCGGAATATCAAGATGTGATTTCACGCCTCGAGAAACGGGTCAAGGAGTACGAGAGAACAACGCACAGAGTATACGAGGCCAAGCGTGCTGCGCTGCAAGACCGTACTCAATTTGAAGCCGAAAGGCAGAAAATGGAGAAAGCCATGCAATCTGCTGCGGCCCAATCGGAGAAGGAAGCTGAGAAAGCAAAGAAAATCATTACGGAGCTGGAAGCTGCTGTGGCGCGGCTGACAGAAGACCCAAATGCTTCCGATCCACAAAATACACCTTTGGTAAAAACCGAGAAGCTTCTACACGATACCCAGTCCAAAGTTTCTGTTCTTGAGAAGCGGCTGGAGAATGCCCAGAATGAGGCAGACTACATTCGGACTCAGTATCAGGAAGCTTCCTCGGTTGCGTCTAGGCTACAAACAGAAAACAACCAGCTAACAAGCCAAAACGAGGAACTTGCCAAGAAGGCTTCCGAAAACTCGGTCAAGATCCATGAGATCCAGGAGCGAGATACTATAAACACATACATTGCACAGGTTGCCGAGCTCAAGCAACAGATCCAACAGAGGGAGAGGGAGCTAGAGCTTGCCAATGATGAGCTTCGACAGCTCAAGAACGGACGGCGAGAGACCCGACAGTCTAGTGTACCACGGAGTCCACGCATGGGCATGCTAAGCCCGCTTACTCGAACAATGGGGGGCCCAGGTAGTAGGGGGGCCAGCCCGGCTCTGGGAGCTGGTATTGAAGGGATGCAGCTCTACGGGCAGCAGCCAAGAAACAGCAGATACGACCATTTGAGATAGGGGCTTCTTTTATACTTGACACACTATTTCCTTGGGCAGAAGGGGGGAGTTCACACTGAGACTGAGTAGGGGACGAACGCTCGTCTCACTTACACGTCGTTTATTTTGATACTTATTTTGAGAGTGGGAGTAGTGTTCCCTCCCCTTTTTCTTTCTTTTTCTGTTTTATTTCCCTACTTGGAGTGGTATCTTTCTTTCTTTTTGTTTCAACAGGGAATTGGTTCGAGGCAATTTGTCTCCTTACAGGGATCAAGATGGATACATAATTATATAAAAGGCATAAAGGAAGGTCGCTCACGGCAATATCACACTGGAATTGTTCATGCAGACGGAATAGCACATGCTATTTGATTAAGGAAGTTTTGTCAGGAATATCAACTGTGATTTTTTAATAGTATGATGATGATATGACGCAGCCAAGGGAATCTGTGAATTTCTTTTTTTAAAAAATTCCGTTGAAGCAGCTAGGCGCCGCAACAACAGTAGGGAGCAGTATACACTATATGCTTCTTCAAACTTATCAGACATTGGTTTGGGAGGCCCCCTTCCCATCAACCGTCTAGCACCGTCGCTATCCTCTTCCCTCCCAACACAATACCATGTACAAGACTCGGAACAGACTTTTTCTCCTCGTGGGCAGTGAGCTTATTTCTCCTCGGGGTAAAGGTCCTCCTTCAGTGAGACACCCAGCTCCTCTCGCAGAGGCTTCAGCTCGTCCAGGTACTGCTGGTACTGGTTCTTGTTCTCGACCTTGGCCTTGATGCCTGTGTATCGGTATGCGCGTCAGCATGCTGGTCTCGACGGTGATGATGCATGTAATACGTGAGTACTGCATGGTATAGAAGAACATGTAATGTGTAGCATTGACAAGTGTTTGATATATAGCGTGGCGCCTCCCCCGGGGTGGAGACAGACGCCCGGCTTGGCTGGTGACTCAATTAAGACGACAAAGAGGAGCAGCATTTTGGCGTACCTTCGAAAATGCGGACGGCAGTAGCAAAGTCGTTGACTCTCCGGGCAGCCTTGAGGGCAGCGGCGACGACAGAGGGCGAGGGGACGAGATCGTAGGCGAAGGCGTTGTTGAGGTTGCGCTAAAATATGACCTTAGCACATCATACGATACTAGGGAACCGCAGAAGCGTTACCTGGAGCTCGAAGACGTCCTGCACAGCATCAAACTCCTTCTCGAATCTGTAATTTTTCACAGCGCAGTCAGCCATTGAACACGTCCGGTCGGCGATGGCATGCACGGCAGGTCGTTGATTGGAATCGCCAGCGCTCTCATTGGCAAGCCGCAAAAGTTTCTCGGTTGGCCGCCCGCCCACTTGTCGATATTTTTTTCTCCCTCTCTTTCGGTATTTCCCTCCAACAGCGACAATTCCACCACTCAATTCCAACCCTGCCGTGCATCCATAAAGGAAAAAATTAGAGCCTCACCTGGCAGTGAACTCTTCGAAGGTCTCCTCAGCGTGCTCGGCTCGTCGGGAAGCAGAGACGCTGAAAGGGCGAGCGGCAACGGCCGAGCGAACAGCGAAAGGTGCGGGACGGACGGCGGCGGCGCGGACCATGGAGGAGCCGCGGGCGGCGGCGCGGAGGAGGGCGGCGGACTGCATGATTCGTAGGAGAAGCTCGAGAAGCGCAAAAGAGGGCCTTTTGAGGGGAGGGGGGAGAGATTGAGTTTGGTGTTGTGGTGAGCCTTTGGGCGGTGCTAGGATTGACAAGAGGTGTTTTGGAGCAAAGAATCGCCTGAGGACGGCGGATGACTAAGCTACGACATTGCCTGATTTACCCGGCCAAGCGGGACGCGACAGTGCGAATTGGGAATTTGGCGGGGCTGTATTTGGGCGAGATTTGCGCGTGTGGGACAGTGCGTTTGAGACGAGCGCGTACGGCCTCAATTACGATAGGCTTTCAATTTGGCCAGTTTCTATTTGTCCAGCTGAAAGCTGCTGATACCGAACCTCCGTATGGGGGTGCGGCTGGCCGGAATGCCATTTTGATACTGGCATGCATGCATTCAGCGTGTTGAAACACCATCATTGAAGTTCATGCAAGACGCTGTGATTATATACTGTCTCATACAGGCTTGACTCGGTGCACTAGCGGTGGCAGCTTGTCTACCCGTGGTTCGATCGGAAGGGATTTTAGCGACACAATCCATCCTCAGTTCCGGGTGTCGGGGATCCTGGCACTCCGATTGCATCGGCCTCCGGTTTTGCGAATCTGCGGAGGGTTGCGTTTGCTTGTGTTGGAGCTTTTACATTGTAGTCAATTGCAAAGTGCTAATCAATTCCGTGATATTCAAGTTGTTGGTTTCGACGGGTATCATGACAAGGCGGCTTCTTGATGGCGTACGCTTAGGAAGCCTATGTGTTGGCCCCGAGAGAAGATGTTGACAAAAGTAGAGCACGAGGCCAGCTCCCATCAAGGTTCCAGTGGATGGTGGCTGTCATCTGCCTTATAGTGTTACTACTCTATTCAGCTGCCGCCGTGCATTCGGGATCGGTCTCGTCTCATATGATTTAACTACTACTCGTATGTTCAAATTACATCAAATCGCATTCGCACGGCGTCCGCGCAGCCCCGAAATTGCCAGATCTGTGCCTCGAAATACCACATCTCGCATTCGCCTGGGCCGAGGTCACGTGGCCGCGAGAATGAGAGAAACTTTGCCAGACCTCGGATTGGCTCTCGACCGGCGCCGATGCCCAATCACATGTGGCAGAGGTTAGACTTGGCGTCACCGCCTGCAGAAGCCAAATTTCCACTCTCTGGAAAAGGGGATGAGGCGGCTTAACTATGCTGGTGCTAGTGTCGAGGCCACCTTTAGATTCTGCCGTAAGACTGCGCATGTGCGTAAGTACGTTGGCGTTGGGCTAAGTATTTCTTTCGGCCCTCCTCCGTGCCTCCGTCCTTTTTCTTCTCCTCCATCCCCCCCGGCCGTCGTGAGAGTTGTCTTTTCTTCTCGGAGTTGGAAGTCGAACGCTTCTTACCCCTCCTTTTCTCGTCACTCCTTCGTTGTGCAATCGTTTTTGCCTCGATCACTCTAGAGATTGCAATTGCAGTCTGTTTGGGCGCTTCTTGGGGACAAGGTTTCGTTTCGCTCCGTCGCGTCGCGTGTCCAATCGAGAGAAGTCTTTTCTTCGATTCTTCTTTTTATTCTTTATAGAATTACAACAACTCGCAAGATTTCGCTTGTGCAACTCTGCCCACCATGGCTTCGACTCCCGCCACGTTTTACGAGCAGTTACCGCTCCCGACGCTCGATCGCCCTTTCGGCGTCCATCTATGGCCTCTCTTTGATAAGCTCTTCACGGCCGTCGCTGGCTTCTCGGCCAATGACTTCAAGTTTGTGCCTTTCGAGACTCCCATGTCTACGCTCAAGTCGACTTCCATCTTCATTGTCATCTACTACTTCGTCATCTTTGGCGGTCGAGAGCTGATGCGCAACCGCGAGCCCTTCAAGCTCAAGGCTCTCTTCCTCATCCACAACCTCTACTTGACCGCCATCAGCGCCGGTCTCCTGGCTCTCTTCATTGAGCAGATCCTGCCCACTGTTGTCCGCAAGGGTATCTTCTTCGCCATCTGCGACCACGACGGTGGCTGGACTCAGCCCATGGTCGTTCTCTACTACGTAAGTAAATTCTCTCAGCAGGCGATGTGTGGCGGTATGGCCAAAGGCTAACATGTGACGATTAGCTCAACTACCTCACCAAGTACCTTGAGCTGCTCGATACCGTCTTCCTCTTCCTCAAGAAGAAGCCATTGACCTTCCTCCACTGCTACCACCACGGTGCCACCGCTCTTCTCTGCTACACTCAGCTGATTGGTCTGACTTCCGTCTCTTGGGTCCCCATTGTCCTCAACCTGACTGTGCACGTTGTCATGTACTGGTACTACTTCCAGAGCGCACGTGGCGTCCGAATCTGGTGGAAGGAGTGGGTTACTCGTCTCCAGATCATCCAATTCATCATCGACCTGGGTAAGTGATATTATGATGTGCCTCGTTGGCTCCCTTTTGTTGGCTCCTTACTGACTCGTTGGGCGCACAGGCTTCGTCTACTTTGCCTCTTACACCTACTTCACCTCCACCTACTTCGACTGGATGCCCAATGCTGGCAAGTGTGCCGGTGAGGAGTTTGCTGCCTTTGCCGGCATCGGTATCCTCAGCTCATACTTGGTTCTCTTCATCTCCTTCTACTTCGCCACCTACAAGAAGGGCGGTAAGGGTTCCACTACTCGCAAGTCCCTTCGCCGCATGAGCCAGGCTCCTCTGCCCGACCCCGTCCACATGGCTGCTACCATGGGCACCAAGTCCAATGGAACCACCACTGGTGCCAAGACCAACGGTGCCACCGCCCGATCCCGCAAGGCTTAAGCTGCCTACGCGCGATGCCGTGGGATGTCTGATTGACATGTCAATGACTAAAAAGCTCCGACGCCCAATGGGTGACGAGCATTCTTTTTTATACATATTACGAATCCAAAGGGCCAGTTCCTACAAGGCCAATTACAATTTTTAATCTCTGTTTTTTGGACATGAGGCCATTTGTCCCGGCAAATGAACCAAAATATGAATCGCTTCCTCTGCGATGATGACATGTCTTTTTGCGATTATGATGACAGGAGGCTGATGACGGCTATATGGGCTAATTCGGGGCGGGACGGAGGAAAATGTTCTGGTAGGCGCAGGGCAAGGCGGGCAGTTATTGTTACGAGACAACGCCCCGGGCATACGGAGCTGCATCGTACACTTGTGCGGCAGTGTCACTGGCCAAGGAGGTCATACTGGTTTTTAATCCTATTCTGTCTTATGCTGTACTATACTTGCTTGTATGTATACTTGATTCACCTGGTTTGCTGCTCCATAGATGGACGGTACGGGAGGGTACAGGTTTTGCTGTAGTTTCGGTGTCTGAATATTACGTTGACGTGGTGTTGGATCCAGTTGTTTGTCAGCTCAAGCACGTGTCGAGATGCCATTTGCGATGAGTGCTGTACATCTTAATACATTGGATCCATCCAATGTTGAATTGTGAAGCGGGCATGGATAGCAATGCATCACATGTGAACATATTGATAAGGCTGACTGAACCGTGTTTATTTAGGGCAATTGCAAGGTATAAAAGCTCAATGGTTGGCAGAGGCTAATGAACACCTAGACGGTACATGTAAACATAACCTTGAAGCTTGTTGCGATGCAGGGGGGCTTGTGCGATTGCCATTGAATTGACTGGAAATGCAAGCAGGAATTGGTCATTACATATCGATTGGACCCTGCAAGAGGAAGATGACAATGAAAATTACAGCCCCTCGCGCCACCCACTAAAACGGCCCCCCGAGCGTGTTCCCCCCTTCAGAGGCTTGTCAGTTGCTCGTCAGTTCTCGTCCCTCTCATTACCGCGCTACAGCTCACCCAGACAAGGAACGCAAGGGTCAACTGGCCCGGGGACCTGGTGGCTTAGGTACGAGCTTGAGGTGGCAGCTCCGCTCTGTGCTGCTGAACTTTTGCACGAGAGCCGCTGTGGCGTGCAGACCAAAATACACGACATGTCCAGCTGAATCCTGTCCTCATCTCCCTCCATCTCCCTCCCCTCAACTTCTTCATCCTTCCTCTCTTCACTTCCTCAACTTCAGCATCAACTACCTACAGTAGTGCTTTGCCCCCCAGTCCAGTCCAGCCATAACTATAACCATAAGGGGCGGCATACTTCATACCTTTTAACGAACGACGCCCCTCGTTTGCATTTGCATTGTTTGCAAGAGACATCGCAATCCTCGCACCGCCGCAGCCACTGACTCTCGCTGGCTGTGGAGGGACCCCCCAATTTCAGCCTCGTTGATTGTTCGCGGGGCTTGCAGCAAGGGATGCGCGAGACAAGCTTGATTCAACAGCATTGGTCCTTGGCGTCGCTTCTCGTCACGCTCCCCTAGACATTTTCGGCGTCAGCTTTTTGCTTATATTTTCTTTTCCTGGACTCTTGCCATTTCCTGGTTCTGTTTCTGTTTCTGCGACACCTTTCACTCCTTTTTTTTCTTCGGTCCCTCGCTACGCGTTTCTCTCGACTCCTTCGCCTTGAGCATCGCCGCAACGTTTACCTCTTAAGTCTCAACTGGTTCAGATTAGCCCAGCTCCGTTTGTAACAGCCATCCCATCACCGCCATCACCATGAGGTTCCTCTTTAGCCGGAAAAAGGACAAGAAGAAGAACGAGCTGTCCAGCCCTCCAGAGGCATTGCGTCGCCCTGTTGCTATCAGCCGCCAGCCTTACTTCCCGCCGAGTGTGAGATCGAGCCAGCTCGTCGCCGTTCTCCCACCAAAAGTTCTCGAGCGTATCTTCCTCTTCGTCTGTCCTCACTCCGGTGATGAGACGTATGATGCCTGCGAGGATAGTGGCAGCAGCGAAGGTTGCATGTTGTGTGACCTGCGTGACCTGGCCCACTGTTCGCAGGTGAACCGAATCTGGCACGATACCGCCATCAAGCTATTGTGAGTATTGCCCACCACTGAGCCGTTCATGCATGTTTCCTAACTGAAATTTTCCTCCTTTAGGTATCACAGCGTTCGGATCGACCAGGTCCACTACTGCAAGCTTGAGGCTTGGTTGGCGGAGAGGCGCAAGCAGACGAGATTTGACCGCAACGCCATTCCTGAGGATCCAGCTCAAGCAAGACTCAGGCTGTTCCGGCGTACGGTCCGCGAGGACCCGACTCGTATTGGCAAGAGGGTCGAGTTTCTGAAGACGCCCTACCAGGTGCGCGAGTACTGCCAGGTAGAGTTGGCTCAGACCATTGCAGTCCTCCCCAGCCTCAAGTATGTTGATCTGCCTGAGGGCATGTTCTCGGATGAGTCGAGCAGCTCGACGCTACGGTTCGAGGTGCAAGCCAGATGTCCCAACATTCGAAAGATGACGTACAATGCAGGCTCAGAGAAGAGCTTGGCAGCGCTGGCTACGGGCCAGGTGTGGCCTCGACTTGAGGTTCTGGAGCTGAACGGCATCAGTGTCGACACCATGACTATGAGGGCGGTGTTGAACTCGTTGGCAAACCTCCGGGCCCTCAAGATGACCGAAACAGAAAGTATATCTGATGAAGTGCTGATGGCCGCATCGGGGCCTATCATGCCCTCGTTGGAGGAGTTCATCATGGAGAAAACTCCTCGAGTGACGGCTGCCGGCCTCATCGAGTACCTTGCTTGGCCAGAAACACAGCGCGGACTCAGGGTCCTGACACTCGTACACACTGGCGTCCACCCGCAAAGACTTCAAGAGATCTTGACGATGGCGCCATGTCTTAAGACGCTGGCCATGAAGCACAAGGTAATTGAAGGCTTTCCACAGCACGCGGGCATCGGATTTCTTGCGTCTCAAAGCCTTGAGACCCTGCGCTTTGAGATTTCTACCGAATCAGATAAGGAAGTGTACGCAAGCATGAAGGCCAGTTGGTACGCTTACCTCGCCTCATCCGTGCTCGCAGGAGGTATGCCTAGGCTGCGTAAACTCTTTGTCCACGATGAGTCCTTCCCGGAGCAGCTTCAGGGGCTGCCTCCTCCCAATGCTAGCTTTGCGGCGGGAGGCCACATGCGAAACCCATCTCACGGCTCTACTCGCAGCTCCCACGTACCTTATCCAGGCATGCCAACTACGCCTACTTCCAAGACATTTGGGAACCCGTTTGCAAACTCGCCCGGCTCACCAACCTCTCCCAGGTCTCAGGTTCAGTCTCCTCGACAGCTGGGCGTGCCTGGGGCGCCAGCAGCACACCGGTTCAGCTCCAACAACCCATTTGCGGCGCACATGCGAGCCACTGCTCCCTCACCAGCCCACACCCTTGAGGTGTATACCAAGACTGACGAGTACGGTAAATGGAACTTTAGCAAAGTTGACACATTAACCACGACAGGCCAGCCGCTGCGACGTCCAGTCAGCAGCTACGGATTGGCGGCAGACGTGGCCGGAGAGGGGTGGAACCGAGGCGAGGTCCGACGCAGCATCATGGTCGGAGACGGTACGGGACTCTTCTTGCCTCTGCCTCCGCCGCCGGGTCAGGACGAGTACGGCCGCAGGGGTTCGGCCATGTCGGACGCTTGGCGACCCTCCAGCAGCGGTGGAGATTCTCTACGCCGGCCGCCACCTCTTTGGCAGTGATTTCAGGTTCTGTTCCTTTTCCTTTTTTCTCTTTTCTTTTATTGGCGATTTGCCGCCCCGGTGCAAGGGAGCCAGGTCATGAGGCAAATCAGAGGCATAATGATTGATGATAGCAAAAAGGCTCTTTTTTTTTTCTCCATTTACTTCTAACCTTAGTGTCCAGTGTAATATAGAAAGACCAAAAAACTGGGGGATCTGGGATTGCATTCAGGGACATTAATCAGTTTGGTTCATAATTTCCCGTCATCTTCGACGATAGTTCTATACAAATTGACCTCTTTGGCCTGCTCTCGTGTCAGTTGCAGCTGTCCGGCCTCGCGGGAGAGGCGTCATCCGCGCTTTTTTATAGCCTTGTGTCTCTCTATCAGTGTGAGCTCTTGTCGTGATCAGATGATGCGGCTCTCTTTACGGCTCTGGAATAGATGCCTCGTGGTGGGAAAATAAATCTGGCTGACTCACAGCAGTTCATATGATTACATAGTACTGTATTATAAGCTTACTGCACCGCCATGTGGTAATCACTCCGGCTGGACCAACTGGACGGAGCCAGAATGGCATTCTGCAAGAAGGCGAAGTGGAGAGAGGCATCAAAAATACATCATTGTTAATTTATTATCTTGTTCGCCCCGATAAAGACGCCAGAAGCTAACGATTGGCTTCTGGGGATTGGGAGCGTTCTAGACGCAGCTTTGACATGGGCCTTTGTTCGTCAAGTCACTTTTTGGGACGGCTGGGCTGTGATACTGTATGGAATCGAGGAATAGTAGATTATTATCTGGCCTCATTGACTTGGGACGAAACGAGCCGTTTGTGAGGTGGAACTGTTGAATAGAGCTCGGTTGTTTAGAGAAGATGATGAAAATGGCCGCTATGCTTGACGATAACCTCGATACTGTGCAGTACATAGATACAAGCCACCTTAGATGGATCAACGATTACGATCAACAACCAGTGGCAAAAATGCACGGCCGTTTAGTCTAAGATGCACAAAACTAACAAGTGTAAGCTCGTGTATCAAAATATCCTGAATTCGACACTATGCATGTACACAGTTTACGTCCCCAATCCCGCCAAGACAAACCCAACAGAGCAAAAACAAATTCAACACGTTGGTGATGAACTCTTTGGTTTTTTTTTTTTTTTTCTTATCATGTTAGTATCCATTTTTTGTGACCACGCCCGTGTATCAGGCCATGTTTCGTCTTGGCGTTTAGCTGTCCGTCACCAATTAAGAAACAATCGTCAAACAAAAACGTGTCGCCCGGGGGGGTCGTTAGGACGGGGGCCCGCCGCACGGATTGAAACGCTCGTGGCCCGGTGTTGAAACGGCCCCCCCGGGTTTGGGTCAACGTGACAGGCACCTAATGTCTGGTTTTGCGTTGGGCAATTTTCTCTGGTCTTGTGTTTCAGAAGCTCAGAGATAAGGGCGAACGGGTGGTGCTGTTTCCGAAGGATGCCAGCCAGCCCTCATCTACAAGCTTGGTATTTTGCGAGAATGCTTCTACGAGAGGTACGGAAGTGCACTTTTCGGAATAATAGGAGCTTGCACAGCCCGCTGAGCTTCACGCCACGCGCAAAAGAAGGGTACCGGAATAAGGGTTCAGGCTTCTATTTCTGGCTTCATTCTTATTGTTTAAAAGAGAAAAAGATGGGGTTAGTCCGCTTTAGGTATGGGTCTTTCTGTGGCTGGTAGTCTGTCCGCAAAACGAAGCTCAAGCCACTAAGGAGGGCCCGCGGAGAAGGGTTTTGGGGACCAGGTGTGGCGCATGCAGTTCACGTTGTCAGCCGGCGGGAGCCCATGACGCCATGGCTGGGGTCACTAGTATCTACCCTATAAGCAATGTTGCTATTTCGAGGGCCATTACTCCGTACCTATGACAGAACTTTGAGTGTGTGCAGCATCGGGATCGATACGGAGTCAGCATTCCGTCAGGCCTTACGCAGGTCACTCGCGCGAGCTTCCAGCTGTAGGATGGGCTAAGCACACTCGGTGGCGGGTGCTTTTTGTCTTCTTACCAGAGGGCTGGGATACAGTATGGCTTCACTGTCCAAAGATACATGAACCAGATTGACGGAAGCCCAGACCTCCGAATTCTAGGTTATCGCCAACGAATGGGGACCGGATCTCGAGCGGACGGATCTTCAAGATGAAGCGCTGTGCGTCGCGAAGGTTTTGGTGCGTTCTGTCAGATGCCCAAGTTTTGCGGCACTAGTCCAGTCAGTGTTCCAGCCTTATCGGCTTGGGCCAGTCAAGGCGAAGAGTTGCTGCTGGATTAGTGGTTTTGGTGGCGTTCTGGTTGAGACATGCAGTGAAGCAGATACGAGGTCCAAGGCGGCCATCCTACCCAAGAAGAAGGGTATCAAGTAGATGGATGGGAGGATGAGTGAGGTTTGAGTGTGATGGAAGAGTGTCGCTGTGTCTTGTGGCGGATTTCCAATCAAAGGAGCCGAGCTGTTGTCTGTGCCCCTCCTGTGTGTCGCATTTACATTGGTGCTACGAAGAGCCTTTGGTGGTGGTATCTTCAATGGTAGTTTGGGATGGTCGGCCCAAGTTGCTGTAGAATCTGGTGTGACTCCGATGCTGCAAATCAGGGGCTCGGTAGAGACGATCTCGGTTCGTACAAGCGGGAGGAGTAACGCCGTTATACGTTTTCTCTTTTTCTTCTTCTTTCTTTTACTTCCTATGCAAGACATTGAACGGTGCCGCTATATACGGAGTACATGCAAGAGAAATGATACCACCTAGGTTCACTTAAATGTGCTAACCCATCGCCCTATCTGCAGAGGCCTCAGAGTCGGCCTGGCGTAGGGAATCACCGATGAAAAAGAAGAGGCAAAAGGAAACAGGGAAAAGGCCTCCATCGGCATCTGTATCGTCACGGTGCGTTGATTCGCAGGTGATTGGGCGGCAACGATGCAAGTCGAGAGACGAGTGGGTGTGGACGTCGGCGCTACCAGAGGCACCAAAACCACTCTAGATCAGATTCAATGGACTGCGTCTGCCGGTTTTGACTGGATGGCGGGAGGAGGGAGAGGCTGGGATGAAAACCAATGGCGCGATGCATGGCGTGAGTTGAAGGCGGATGAATGAATGGATGAGGGCATAGTTTGTGGGTGTGGCATGTAGGTATCAGGGTTGGATTAGATATTATTTGCGCATAGACCCAAGGGCTGCTGTTCCTTGGAAAGGGTAGAAGAATTGATTGATCCCGTATGTACAAGTGATTTTGCAGAATGTTGGCGTAATGTCTTGCATCAACCCTATCTCAAGGCAATAAAATACCACCCTATCTAACCTACAACCAAAGGGGTGTTTATCCTATGTACATTCTCATACGGCCAACTCCGTGCGAAGCCCACCTACATAAAATATTGGAAACAATTAAAAACGTCCCGAAAGCCTTGGCCATCGTGCATCCCTTTCGCCCTGCGTCAGGTGTTGCCGTCTGTGCAGCGTTTTAATCCGTGCCACACGGCGCATCATGGGGACAAGTAATTTAAATTGACGTGGCGGCAAGCGTTTCTTGTGCGTGCGGCTGAAGCATTTCGGATGGCACAAGGCGAAAGGAGAGAGAAAAGGGCTTTCGAGAGGGCATCATGAGGAGGAGGGAAGCAAGGAAGAAAAGGGCCGTGTTGACGATGTGATTGGCTCTTGCTGGGCGTCATGGTGCAGCCAGGCTGGATGCTAGATACAGTTCTGGTGATTCACGCGCTGCCGAGACCAGCCGTAGGTCGCTTATTAGCTGCATGGAGCTTTTTTCTTTCTTTCGTCGGCCGGCACTCTCATCAAGGGCCTTGTAGATGAGTAGATTAGTTGGTATCGGCATGTAATCAATCCAATCTCATTCAAGAAAGTGCTCAAACCGATCTGCGGTCTCGATGCTACGGTACGGTAAAGCACTGTACATTATCCTCCCTGAGCCTGTAGCCGTATCTTCATGCTGTTAGTCACTGCACTGCTACTAGCAGAAACAGTTAAAATGACGAGCTACAGGGAGCTGCGTGCTCAGCCGTTGACTAGCAGCACCCGCGTGACGAGACGACGATCCGCCCGGGATGTTCGTTCAGGCTAGGTTTGTCAGTTAGTAGCCACGAGTAATGGCGTTGGAAGACAGCGGTTTGTTTGCTTCCCAATGATAATGGCAGTTCACCCAATCAAGACGGGCTCTGGCCTCCACGTCGACGCTTGGTGCGGTTGGCGTCATGGCCCCTGGAATGATCCGGATGGTGGAGAATGGAGAGGGTTTGAATGAATGACGGTTGGGACGTGGAACGTGTCCGTGCTGTGAGGATGGAGTTTGGAGGGGGATTCGATATCAAGGGCGGGCTGCTGCGACAGAGAAGAGATCGGCGAGGCTGCGACGAGTCATCGGGTGTCATGTCATCCGTCAATGGGGCTGCTATAATGGCGTCAAGGGGATCTCCTCAAGTGCCGTAGCAATTAAAGGGTTGTTTCGTGGTGATCTTTTTTGTCTTTGATAATTGGCCTTTTATCGAATATCTCGTGATTCCAGATTACGCTGCTTACTCTGCTCTACTTGGCACCACTGGCTAATACTCTGTGCCTGAATGCCAATGGGAGCAAAGGGTAGCACTCGGCACTTGATGTCGAGTGGTGATACGTGTTGCGTGCGGAGAGCTGGTGGGACGTCACACTCGCCATCTCGAGCTAAAGCGGCACTCGCACTCACACATGTCCTGATTCTTACAGTACCTACTGCACCAAGTCATCTAGTCGAATGTGATGGATGCAATAAATCGTACGAAAGCACTGGAATGATGGCATTCTGCAGGTGGTGGCTGGGGAAGCAAGAGAGGCGTCAGACAGAACATGGAGAGAGTGGCGCATGAAGGTACGAGGAGAAATACAAATGCTGGTTTCTCCATTAGCGAAAAGGACGTCGACGCCGTGGCTGCAATGAGTTTAAGAACAATAATCCATCTCCAAGGTCAAGCCACATGGCTGGAGCTGGAGGTGGCATTGCTTCGTAGAACCCGACACTTTTACGGAGCGCCCAGAGGCACAGGACTGTCTCTCCGTACAAAACTCCAATCTATCTGCAGCAGTCACATTCTTGGAAAATATGACGAGTTGGGATAGCGAAATGGGGTGGACAGAAAGAGCTGCTCGCTCCGTCAACCGGCCGGCCAGTTGCAGGCCTGTGAAACGACTTGCTTGCAGGGCCAGTGACATGTTTTGGTTAATTGTGCCAGGTCCTGTTCAGTTCTGTACACGTTCAGGTCCAGCACTACGACAGGTAATAATTCTGCACAGCACCAGACATCAAATGCCTGTGCCGTCATAACGTGGGCTAATCCCTTTCTGGCAATGTCTGGTGGATCCACATATACCCCTGCCAGGATACCAAGTGGGCCCCCAAGGTGGGAAGTGGGCTCGCCGTTCGTGGCAAGTACACAGTGCGCGGGTAGCAGCATGCCAGACGGTGGAACATGCCCATGCCTGCCTCACATACTTGTATCTGTGTGTGCCCCCTTCCCGGCGCGTGGAGAGAGAGTCAAGATTCTCTTCCAAGACCATTCAAGTCAAGTTTCTTTTCTTTTTTCCCTTCTCTGCGCGTGAACGAGACGGGAACAGCTTCAGCTACATTCCTCCCTCCACCGCCCTTTCCCTTGTTCCATATCTTCATATCTTCCATACCTTGCTCTTCCACTTCCATATCTTGGCTCGTTTGACGCCTTACAAGAATCCCAACCAGAGTCTCTCCCTTTGTCATTCTTCTTCTTCCTCCTTCTCGACTTCGCCCGCCTTATTGGTCTTGGATCCGCCCTATTCGATATATTGCCGCGTCACACGTTACGACTATTGCCCAAGTTGGTGGAACTTTTCAAGGAGCCATTGATAGGCAGTCGAATTCGTCCCAGGCATCCATACTCTAGAGGGGCAGGACCACACAAAGAGATTCACATATACATCAAGCTTCCTCCCAAGCTCCCAAGCTTTGCGAGGGCTTGCTTGCACCACAACCAACCGACATCGACATCGACATCGACATCGACATCGACATCGACATCGACATGACCCAGTTCGACACCAACATGTCTTCAACAATCACAAAGACAGAGGCCGTGCTGCCCAAGGCACCCGCTCTACCTCCCAGAAGCGCCCTGAGGGCCTCAAGGCTGCTGGCCACCATGCCTCAGAAGCTTTCAGGACACCGACCCGTCCTCACTCCCGCCGCCCCTCATCTTCTCTACCTTTCATCCGAAGAGGATGTTTCTTCTTCAGCCGACGACTTCTCCGACTGCGACTACAGCTCCGACAGCGAGCAGGCGCAAGAGACACCCGAGCAGACATCAACGTGCCAGGACATTGCCCGCAAGGTTTCAGTGGTCTTCTCTGGAAAGGCCTGCATCGTTCAGCTCTCCCGAAGATCAATATCGCCAAGCTCATCAACAAGCTGCGCCGCGAACGAGCTTACAAGGACGTCGACCGAGCCCATCCTGAAGCACCGAAAGGCATCTACTAGCTCTACGTCGTCGGCCAAGGGGTTTTCACAACACCCTCCCCGGTCAAGCAGCATCATGTCTCCCATCAGCTTCGAGGGGGGCTCGCCCTCGTTCCTCAACATTGATCCGTTTGCGACAAAGTCGGAGCCCGAAGAGCCTGAACCCCAGCTCCGCAAGACGGCGCAAATGTTCAAGAGGACGCTTAGCCTGGTCAGGAAGCGTAGCAGGCCTAACCTGAACCAGTCGGCGTCCCTGTCTCGAGAGGCTCTGTCAATACAGACGCTGCCCATGGAGCAGGTTGGTGAGGACAAGGAGGAGAACCACAGCACTCCCCGGAACGCGACATCAATACCGCCCTCGATTTACCAGGACGTGATGGCCTCCAGGAGGGCCAGCAGCTACTCAGCCACAACGCTATCGCCGGTTAGCGATGCGGCATCCCCCCTGTCACCGACAAAACGAATTCGCCAGGGCTTCTTGACTCGGCGACGAAGCATCCGGGTATGAGCCCATACACCGCTACCATTCCATTCACAACACTCTCTTCATCTCGATTTTACCTTTTGCGACACTGGATCCACATTCAACTTTTTTTTTTTTTTATGAATGCTCCGACCAACAACAGCTGGCCTCTACTTTCTTCACTCTTGCGAATTTCGTGACGACGGTGCTGGAATCTTCTCCTTTTCCTGCTTTTTTTCGACTTGGTTTTTTTTTATAGGCGGCGCATTTTTATATGGCATAACAAAAAATGGGGGCATATATTGCACGGAGCGGCGTTTTCACGTGGGCATACATGAGAAGAGTTCGTCATGCGAACATGACACTCTTGGGGAGGCTTTGCATTGCCTCGTGGCGTTTTTTCTTTTCTATCAGTTTCTTTGGGACAATACAGCCGCGATGACATCAGCTGGCAAACACTGTTTTTTTGTTTTTCGCTTTAGCTACGCAAGTAGTCATGATGCTACCAATGAAGAGAGTCCTCGGACCTCGATTTGAATCCATTTTTTGCCTATTTTTCCAAGTGATGATTTGTGTGATGCATTTCCGTGTGCTGACTACTCATTATTGCACAGTACAGTGCAGTATGGCTTTGTTGCCTTTACTCGTGGTTGCCGCGGTGAACTGGGGCTCTCCATGCACCTACACCGACGTTGTAGTTGCAAGGGTCCATGACCTGATAGGCAAAAACTCCTGCATCGAACATCCCTGGCAGCCGAGGCGGTCTGCCATGAACACGGTGTACAAGAGCCGCTTTTTCTTTATTCCCGTTGAAGATTGTTTAACCCAGAGTGAACAAGATGGGTGAATGCGTGCATGAGAGTAATTCGTACCTACTGTACTCGTACTTGGCGTGGGAATGGAATGCCCCGAACATACATTTGACGTTGATGACTGTACGGGTACGGGTACGTGGATGCCCAGAGTGGGGATTTGGACCTGATGGAGCGGAGGAGGCCGGTTGATGGGAGTCGAGATATTACTAGCAGTTTTGCTATAAAGTAAGATCAGATGGAAGATCTCGCTTTGGACTGAGTGGTAAATGTAATGGTTTAATGGATGTGCTTCAAAGTTGTAGTTGCAGTTTATGATAATTACAGTACAGACTGCACCGCAAGGACAAAGCAAGCCAAGGCCTTGACAAGGCAAAAAGGGTAAAAAGGCGGGATGGGATGTTGTTGAATTTTGGTTGGTGTAAGTTTTCTTTGCCCTCTTTTTTTCCCCCTTCCCGCAGTGGAGTTTGAAGAGATGTGTTGTACATGCAGATGTATGGAGCACTGCCGACATGTTTTAGTCCTGTCCTGCTTTGGGGCTAATGTGCCATTACTGTGGAATGAGATGCTTGTTGTGCTGGACTTGGATTAGTACCTTTTTTTGTTTTCTTGCTGTATGGAATATTCTTACTTGTGCTGTGTTAGTGTGTTGCTGGTTACGGTGTGTCTTGTCTTTTTGTCTTGGTGTTTTGTGAGACCTTCCGGCTTCGGTCACGATGGTTAGCGCTACTTCTAACAACAGTATTGTAAGTTTGAGATGTGAGTGTATGTACATGCAACATAAGAATTAGGATATACATGAAGACAAGATAAACATGTAAAATATTGTCGGAGAATAAGGGTTGAGCGTAATTTATCTTTATTACTTTTTCCGTCATCTATCTGTTCTGTACCTGAGCGTTCGCTGCACGCACTCCGTGCTCCTGCGTCGGGTATCCCTTCTTTCCCCTTCCTTTTCTTTCTTTTTACTGCTTCATCATATATGTATATGCCGTATTACGAGGTGCCGTACCTATACATACCCGCAGGCAAGGCAGGGCAAGGTATGTGAGTGAGCAATCTGCAATCCGTGCCCACGTCTGTCTGCTGCTGGAGACGGCCATGTGCTGCTGCTGACAAGTACATGATACGTGATATGATACGTGACGCCGCACGGAGTACGTGATACGGGCAGCTCAGGAGCAAGACAGAGAGAGAGAGAGAGCATGGGTTTCAAGGGCAAGGGGAATTTTACCAAATAATGATGTGCAGGGCTGTTGATGCACTGTATCATTACCTGTTACGAGTGCGTAAATGTGCACATACATATACTACTTGTACGAGGCTGATTTTGATACCGCGACGTCCGAGATAGGGAGGACAAGGGGGGTTGTGTATTTTTCTTCTTACTCTTTCTTACTTGTGCAAACGGGCATTATTATTATTCTTTCGTTGTTTCGCGTCCGTATCGAGGGCCTTGTCTCAGTCCGGAGAGGGCGATGCGGGCCACGACACGGAGGCGCGTAAGTGTTCCATATCGGGATGCGACGTTGCTTGGAGATGGCGATGATGGACAGTTTACTGTATACATCTGTTCGTATCTAAGAATAAACATATTTATAGTACTCGTACAAGAATACATGGAGTGTTCAAAAATGGGATTGGCGATTTCAATTCAATGCAGCGTGTTGTTACAATTTCCCCCTTCTACTTTATTCAATGTCTTTCATGCTTTCGGCTGGCCAAGCAATAATAGACGCTCCGGAGATGTCACCTGTTCATGGTGAAACAAAGACGACGGGGTGGCATTTTCAAGAATTGAATAGGTACTACACGCACTCGGCCGAACTGAACAAGACAAGAATAAAAAACAATAAGAATAAGAATAAAGAGCTGCTACCTCAGTTCAGTAGGTGATACTTGATATAGCATTACGTACTTGGGTGCTGCTTGCAACTCCCGCTTCAGAGTGCGACATTGTCTGGGACACGTCGCGATGCTGCGTGCCTTCGTCTCCAGATCGGCTGGATGCAAGCAAGCAAGCCCGCTGTTTTTAGTCAATTGCATTTTGCTACGTGTACAGAACAGAACGGAGCAGAACAGAACAGACGAGCATGTATGAATGGCATCATGAATGGCGGTATAGCAACGGTAGAGAACCATGGATCGGTTCATGCTCATGCTCAACAGCATCACGCATCACGCACCTCAACAATCCATTCATACTAACTTGAACCAGATAGCTATAGCTTGCTGTAGCTAAGGTAGCTACCTAGTAGCAGCACATGCAAAAAACAGCACGATGAACAAGAAGAAGCAAGACAAGACAAGACAAGACAAGACAGTCTCAGTCTCCACCATCCAGCATCACGCTTGACAGCACATCAAACCCGCATGCGAAACAAGCACAAGAAAAAAACTCTACGGAGTACTGAACCAACAGAACAAAGAAAAGAAAAAAACACGGTGCACTGTGAGATACATGACATGGGGGCCCCTCCCCTGAGAACTACGCCCATGGATCGCTCAGGTCGAACGTAAAAAAAAAAAAAAGAAAGCAGACGAGAGACACATAAAGCTACAGTGGAAGCGACCTACCGAAATTAGCTTGTGCCCCACACGAGCTTTTTTTGCTTGCTGTCGGTCAGGGGTTTGTTTTTAAATTCTTCGCGAGGACATTTGGACTCATAATATTTGATCAATGTGTATTTCGTTGAAGAGTGCGCGAACAATGCGATCGTCTGGGGTGTAATTTCCACCGAGATTGAGACGTGCCATTCGCAATATCCAAACATGATTAAATAATACCAGCAAAATCACACAGTCAATCTCTAATATCTCATATAATCACAGCATCTTCTTCTCCCCTCACGTGTCAAAAATACGGTGTATGCACAGAAGCCTCACAGAAGCCTCACCGCATCTCAGCCTCTCTCTCTTTTCCCACTTTCCACTCGTATCTGCCACGAACCCCCATGTCCACCCCCCCCTGTTCCCTGCTAAAAACTTGGTTTAGCATGTCCACTCTTCTTCACAAGTCTTCAACCCTCTCTCCATCGCTTGCCGTCCCCTGGCGCGCCATCTCGCCTTAGCACCAACCCGCTCTGCTAACCCCGATTTCTGCTTGGCCAGTTCACCTAACTCTGCTCTGCTTTACCGCAAAATAGAGACGCGGAACAGCTCTGTCTCTTACCCAGTTCACGCTAATGGCCACCGAATCTTGCATCACCGCCTTTTATTCTCACCCTAAAAAAAGAGAAAAATCTTCTTTGCTGCCCCCATGCTCCATCCCCAGCCCCCAGGGGGAACATGCCGTGGACAAACGAACTCCATTTTCGCTTCCTCTCGCTTCGTAGCGGGCATCCCATAGCCCATCTCCATTCAATTAGACAACCCCCCTTGCTCCGTAGAATATTCGTAAACACACGCAACTGAACGCATGATTCTCATTCGACCGTTCATTCAATCATGCCTCGTATGACGGCGCCATGCCTGTGCTCGTCACACTCATCATCACAATCGATTGCATCTCCTGTCAATTCAAATCGACCCTCTCCCCAGGTACTCGGAGATGATGTCGTAACCTTGCCCTGAACTCGGTTAGAGAAGCCCATCAATAAACTGTATGCCCTGAACTGTATTGTGACTATATCCTGAGAGACAGTCCAATCTCCTTCACAACTAGCTAGTGCATACGCACGACACGCTCATGTAATTGGAGATCCACCGCAAACTTCAGCCTCAACGCTATTGCCGCGCTAAACAGATCGCCATCTCATCTCTAAACCCCATCGCGTCATGTCTGCACTGTCAAAGTAGGGCACGTGTCGTTCATGCCGTGGAGTCTCTTCTGACTCTTCATATAAACTTCATGGAGCACAGCGTTTCAACGGAGCACGTGGGCAAGCACAATACAGACAAGCAAAAGAAATATAGTACCAAGATAGTATGTATTCATCATTCAACATACAACATACGTACAGGTATTTTTTGTCCACCTTTGATCAAATCCGCAATTGACTCGAAGCCGACATCCATCCACTCTCGCCGACGAGTCCCTCGGTCGAAACGCCATCTTTTCCGGTTTTTTTTCTTCTGCTTCACTCTTACCCAATCTGTTTGCTTCCATTGGACCTCGGCCAAAATGCTGGAAGAAACAAAAAAACACATATCAAAGATTTGACACACAAAGATTCACTGTCAAAACTGTCCTCAATCCGATACAATGCTGGCTTGGCTTTGGACGCATGTTGCTCATGGAATAAACGCCTAACTTTGCTCTTTTTTTCCCTTTCTCTTTTTTCCCCATTAGTCAGTACCGTTGAGCGTGGCCTGGGTCTCCGGGCTGATATCATTGGGTTGCTTCGTTCGCAGAGTCAACGAGAAGGGATACTCTTCGGGGTCCTCCTCCTCACTAGGTTCAGCATGTTAGCAAAAAGCCGAAACAACTGTAAATCATGCAACTGCTGCGAAATACTTACGGCAGCTTCCAGGCAACGTAATCCTCCGTGCTCAGGCCTTCTCGTCCCTCCTGCAGGCTGGCAAAGTCTCCAGGGGTCATCATGCCAGTCCGATCGCGAGGCGAGCCGGGAACGGAGAATGGCCTGGAGATCTTCTGCTCCGGCCCGCGGATGAAATCTTCTATCTCCTCTTCCTCTTCATCACCGTTAAACGAGTTGGGGTATGCTCGTCGGAGAGCGAGCTGGCGCGCCTTGATGTACTCCATGCCCATGCGCTTCCAGTCAAGCAGGTCGCTAAGACGCTCAGTACGGTTCCTCTGGTTGATACGTTGACGCCGGCTCTTGCCGCAGTAGTCAAACATGAAGCTGGACAGTTGGTTCACTGAATCTTCGACTCCCTTCATTCTCCGATCCACAATGTAGATACCGTAGTCGCTAGAGTTCTCAATGAGCTCCTCCATGTAGCATCCAAAGCCAGAGAGGTTGGTAGTGATGCTCGGCACGCCCATGACAGTACACTCAGCTGGGGTGTAGCCCCACGGCTCATAGTATGATGGGAAAACACCCATGTGGCAGCCGCGTACAAAGTCGTCATAGTCCAAGGGCAGAACGGGGTTGGCCGAGTTCAAAAATTCTGGGTGGAACACGACCTTGACACGGTCTGACGGGTGGTTGAACAGCTGCACCCGGCGAATCTGGTTCAGGACGGGGTCTTCGCTGTCGTTGAGCATGTTGTGAGTCACAATTGGCGGAAGCCCGTGGCGCTTCATGGCAAAGAGACGCCGGCGCAGGAGAACACGGTCCTGGCCAGAGATGAGTTCCTTCTCATCGGGCATTGGGTCACCCTCGTGCCACTTGAGGGATCGCTCAAAGATACGACGACCAATGGCCTGTTCAATGATGTTTGTGGTATCTTTCAGGGACTTGATGACGGCTTGGCCCTTGAGAGCCTCAACAGTCAGCGATGTGGTCTGAGCAGGCATGATGATGAAGGCGACAACAGTCATCTTGCTGTTGGCCGCCTTGAGTCGTCCGTTGAGCCGCGCAAGAGATTCGATGAACATGTCGACTCCCTTATTTCGGAATTCGTAGCGTCCGGCAGTGAAGAAGTACAGTGTGTTTTCTGGCTCAAAGTCATAGTGACCGTAGAAGTGTCCTCTCACGAAGTCATGAATCTTCTCCTTAGCCTGCTGGTGCAGATTTTGGAACTCGTGAACCGCCGAGAACTTGGTGACGTTAAGACCGTTGGGCAAGACGCCATCAGGCTTTCGCTTCAGCAGATGCTCTGATTCGAAAGCGGTGATGTGAGAGACTGTTGTGAAGACGTCGCATGAATGAGCGGCAGCTCGTTCAATGCAATACCGGTGGTAGATGCCGCGCTTTCCCGCCTCGGCATCGACGTCAAAGAACTGGAGATTGTTGTAGAAATCAACCGAGCCGGCACAGAGGTATCGTCCCAGGAGAGTGGCATGGGTGGTGAAGATGGTCGTAACATCAATGCGCCTCTTCTTGGTAAGGGGCAGAGCAACACCGGCCAGCCATTCGTGGAAGTGGGCAATGACGGCCTTTTCCTTCTCGTGGCATACAAACTAGTACTTGCATGTTAGCGGCAGCCAATCAAACGCTGAGAAGCAACGACAAGGAAAGCTAATGTCAACTTCATGGGACTAGGGCAACGACGGATGCTTACCTCTCCAAGGAACCACGCCACCAGGTAACCAAAGACAACAGCCTCATTGGTCTCCTCGTCATCAGGTGGGGACGGAATGCTGGCAACTGACCAGAGGTCCGACTTCCACTCATTGACAAAGTTGTAAGCCGTCTTGGTATCAATGAGAAGAACCCGAGGGGCTCCCTCAATGAGCCATCGGCCGTAGAGCATGCCAATTCCGCGATCCTTCATGGTCTGCATGGTGGCGGCAAGCTCCTTATTGGTGGGCTCCATCTCTTCGACCTCGACTGCGGCCTGTTTCTCGTCAGTTGGTGCCCAATTTTGAGCTATTAATTAATTCTTGCAAGGTAGAGGGCGCACCGATTGGTGGTTGAGGGGACCGATAAGGGTGTATCGATCGCCATATTCAGCCGTAGTCACTGGAGCCTTGGACTTGAGGACCGAGTAAATACCACCGACTGTGAGGCAATAAATGAGTTAGCTCTTGATCTGGGCCGACATTGGGTTGGGCAGGAACGGGCACAGAGGCCATGGTGACATAATCGCCAGAGGGTAGGATGCGACTTGCCTCGATGAGCTACTTCCGTAGCAATCTCAAAGAGCAGGTGGTTCTTGATATCGCGAACGGGGTTTCCGTTGGAGGCCATTTTGTCGTCCTGGACTGTGAAAATGTCGCGAGAGGTTGTTGTTTGACCCTTTTGGAAGAGCTCCGGCGAAAAGGCCTGTGCCACGGGCCGACAATCCAGATGACGTAGGGGATTAGGGCTGCGCAAGGGCTGCACAAGCTAGAAAGACTGAATTTTGTAAGCTTTTGGACGTTTAAAAAGCAGCAGGAGGTGAGAAGACGAACTGAAAATGCTTGTAGCTATCAAGGGAGGCGAAGAAAAAAAAACTTTTGGTTAGTTAGGCCGAATTTCGGTGCGAGATATTGTGGTGTGATGACTTACCTAGTGCTAGTAAAGCTCTTGATTGAGGTGGCGTTGGAGCTTAGATGGGTCGCTGTTATTGCAAATGGTGAGTGAGCGCTGGCAGCGAGGTAAACAATGGCTGGGCCCGTGAAGCTGGGCAACGGGCTCGTTAGGGTCCAAGGACTGAGGAAGCTGAATCTGAGGCCGTGGGATGAGAAGAAAAGGCAGAAACAAGTCAGGCCGAGAGGGGGAGAAGAAACTTGATGAGGGACTTGGACTGAAGCTTTGGAGGGGTGCTACATAGAAAGTGGGGACCTCTCGAGGCGGTGGGTCTGGGGTTGGGGATAGCGCAATGCTAGCCCAGCCGGCCAAACCACTAACAGAAGTGACTGCGCAGGTGTGTTCATGTATGCGATTTGCGTCTGCAGTTTTGACGCATGCGCATCATCGGGAGAAGACGTCTGGAATCAGGCCGCAAGCTTACATAAGGACTGTATTGTGCTGCATGGCATTAATTGCACGGGATTATTTATGCTGCTGTTCATCTTTATTCATTTACTCCTCTTCTCCAACTATTTTTACCTTAAATCTTTTTGGTTCCTCGTCCAAAACTCGCCGCTGCCTTCCCCAGGCTTGCATGGTTCCCCGGGCCGCTACGCAGCGCCTCTCAGCATCAATCGCCCACAAGCCAGAGCCGCTGACGTCCCCCCTTCTCAATTGGCACAAGCAAACACCTCAATGTCCCTGCATAACAAACCATTCGTCTCTCCAATCCAGCGGGTCGCCGCAAGCCAACCGCGGGTGGTGAGGTGCCAAACTGGCCTCGTGCACTACCTTAGCAGTGTGGGGATGACGCCATGGATTGCGGGGGAGCTGATCGAGGTTATGTGATGAGAGATGCGGATTGGCTGGTGTTTTGCATCTGGACGGACATTTGCCATGGATATCTTGGACTCTGCCACGAGTTATTCCACGTTGCTGGTCCCCAATGGGACAGGAGCCATGCCCGAGTTGCATATCCTCCGCATCCCATTGCAGCTTGGGTGGTATTCAACACTCAATTGCAAGGCGGTGACGCCAAACGGCATTACAATGACAAAGACTCGCATCATTGTGTACGCCCAGACATTGTCTGCCCCTTGGACTTGTCCTCGAAACACCAGACATGACGTATGGTGCTTATCAACGACGCTCTGTTGGTGTTAGTTGGGTATGCAAGGGATGCAAGGATGGCTATTCTATCTCTTGTGGGGATCTCTTTATCAAGATTGTTTCCCAGGGAACAAGGATAGGTAATCCAAAGCGGCTAACACAACCATACGGTCCACAGATTCTCCTCAGCTACTTTCTGACTATGTACTAGGCGGATGTATGTCTCTGCTCCATGTGTTGTGGCATCTTAGAGCATCAATTAGGCGGTCTAGATGCAGGTTAGTGTGCATTAGGTCGCTCTTTCAGCCTCGCGGTGTCTTGGCTCTAATTGGCTACTGATTTCAACAGTGAACCCCGCAGTGGATCCACTACTCACAAGGCTGCGCTTCATTTTCCAAAATTTTTTGAGAATTCTCTAGCCTACATGTGCACCAGCCGTTACCAGCAACTCGCACCAGAGTGACGATTCGACGTTCACAGTTTCCTATCATCTAAAATAACAAGGGCATCCAAATCACTCATTCATCGATCTTTTGAGCACACATATTAATTCTTCTTTTACCACAATGGACGCCTCATCTGCCCAGGTGAAGGTCGTCTTCACCACCAACGAGGAAGACCTCATCCTCCCAGAGTCCAAGAGACAACTGCTCGTACCCGCAGGTCAGTTTCCTTATTAGAATTTTACCCCATTTGTTATACAAAGATAGGAAGATGGGTCTTATTAACATACCCTAGATATCAAGCGCTATGGCCTCTCTCGCATCTTAAACTCCGAGTCGATGCTGGATACTTCATCGCCAGTCCCTCTCGATTTCCTCGCCAACGGCACATTTCTGAAAACGAGCATTGAAGAATACCTCAAGTCAAATGGCTTGTCTCAGGAAACAACATTGACCCTGCAATACGTTCGCAGTCTTCTCCCCCCAGTTTACGAAGCCAGCTTTGAGCATGACGACTGGGTCAGCGGTGTCGACGTCCTGTCGTCAACTTCGCCCGCTGGTTTGCTGGCTGGGGATGCTGCTGTGAATGAGCGGGTTGCTAGTGCCTCCTACGATGGGCTTGTGAGGATCTGGAACCCCTCAGGAACTGCAATTGCCGTCTCTGCTGGTGGTAAAGGCGAAGGACACACTCAGCGCATCAATGCTGTGCGATGGTTGTCACCGACCCAGCTGGCGTCGGCCGGCTTGGATCGAAAAGTCGTTGTCTGGGATTACAAGGAAGCGGATGATGGCTTCTCCGGAGCTCTCAAGCCCAACATGGAACTCTGGGGCCACGGAAAGAACATTAACAGCATTGATGTCAACGGCTCCACCCGGCGCATCCTGACTGCCTCCTCAGATGGTCGCGTTGGCTTGTGGTCCGCCTCTAAACGAACGGCGCCCCAGGCCGACCCCGAATCCCTTCCCTCAGCTCACATCACCAAGCGAGCCAAGCTGTCCAACGCCGGCTCTACCGCCCAGCGCGGACCCCTGGCAATGATCCCCTTGCACGAGGAGGCAGTCACCGCCGCCATCTTCCATCCCAAGGACTCGACCGTCGCCTACTCTGCGTCCTTGGACCACACAGTCAAGACGATTGATCTCACAACACAGCGGGAGGTGTCTCGCCTAACCACCATGCACCCCATTCTCTGTGCGACGGCACTGCCTGGTGCGTCGCTGATAGCCGCTGGGTCTTCGGCACGACACATCACCCTGCTGGACCCCAGAGAGTCTGCTGCCGCAACCGCCGCCATGACCCTCCGAGGTCACGTCAACATGGTTGTTTCGGTGGCTGCCTCCCCGGAGAACGACTACTCGCTGGTTTCCGGCTCGCACGACAGCACGTGCCGTGTGTGGGATCTGCGTAGCGTCCGGCTCGCATCGTCCGAAGAGGGCGGCGGCAGCGTCAGCGAGCCAGTCTACACTATTGGAAGAGAGTGGCTGAAGGGCAAGAAGCTACCGCCTGCCGGAGACGGCGCCAAGGTGCTGAGCGTGGCATGGGACAAGACGTGGGGAATTGTTAGTGGAGGAGAGGATAAAAAGGTTCAGGTCAATCGGGGTAACGGGCTGTTGGCTTCATAGATGCTATTTTCATTTAGAATCTGTCTTGAAATTGAATATACCAAGGATACAGTAATTAATTACACGCTATGTCTATCGTTTGCTTATTTCTGCTCGTCTGGCTTCACTTCCGTTTGCTTCGTTTCCTCGTTATTGTGGTCCAGCTTGACTGCCTTTGAACACTCCTCGCAAAACGACTTGTACTTATACATGTACGGCTTTTCGAGGTCTATATGGCACACCACTTCCTTGTGCAACCTGCCCAACGGATAAGGAAACTTCTCCGTCTGTATCGCATCCACGATATACGCCGCAACAGTGCTGGTCAGCAGCGGCGGGTCTCGCAAGAGCGCCGCGATATCGGCAGGGCAAAGGTCCTCATTCCGGTACCAGATGTAGTACGCCCTGATGCGGACCGGGGTGGTGACGGGCCAGGTTGAGTTGGCGGCAGTGTACGCATCGTTGTACGCCTTCATCTCTGCTTCGGCTGCAATGACCCGCGCGTCTCTAGTGTCGGGGGCTTTTGGCGGGCGTTGTCTTTTCGCTTTGGGGGCCTTTGTGGCCGAATCACCCGATGCTGCAGCTTCCGAGGCTGGAAGTTTCGGTTTAAAGGTTTTTGGTAGTTGCCTTTTAGGTTTGGAGTCTTCAGGGTTTGGATCTTCTAGTTTAGGATCTTGAGGCTTAGAGTCTTCTAATTTAGGATCTTTAGGCTTGTAGTTTTTGCGTTTATATGTGGAAGCCGTTGTATCTGCAGAAGTGGCTGTTGTCGGGTCCACGGCAGCAGCATCATCCTCTGTTTTCTCAACAGCTGGAGGAGCTGGAGGATCAGGAAGTGGAATAGGTAGCCGCAGTTCCGCATGATGCGGTCTAGGAGGGCAGGGCACGAGGGCTTTTCGTTTCTCCTCAAGCACGTAGTAGAGCTGAAGGCCGGCATAAGCATCCGACGCAGCATCTGCAACTGATTAGCCATGTGAACTCAAGCATAGGCCAAGTGGCACATTGGGGTTTGTCTTACAGTTGATTTGTTGCGAGCTGAGCCGTCTCATCCAATTCCCGGTTCGGACTAGATCTCCCTTGAACAAAGGAAGCAGTAACTGGTCTTCAACTTGGGTAGCCAGTGATACCAGTCCTTTGTGGACGAGGTTAGGCGTCTCTGGCAGATACTTGACGACCCTGTAAAGATGGCTCAACTCAAAGACACCGCGAACAGTGACGCCGAGGTGGGTTTTGAGGCGCGTGCAATCCGGTATGATGTTGACGCCGACTTTGCTCACGTTGGGATTCTCCATCATCTTGCGAAACGACGGCCCTAGAAAGTCCTCCTTCTCTGTGAACACTGCGACATGGATCAAGGCAATGCGGCTAGGGCTCGCAATCTGGATGAGGGAGACGTTTTGCCGTGGCCCATCCGTCTTCCTTGCCCATTTCATCCACTCCAGATCAAGACCGATGACATCTTCGTTGAGGAAATACTCGCTACAGACCCGCTCCGTGGTAGCCTTACTTTCACAATAATGGACTTTAACATTATCGACCTTTCCATTCTCGCCAGTTCGATGGTACATGGTATATGACCAGTGAGCCTCGGGAGTGCCAGGGATGGCAGCGCGGGCAGCAAGAAACTCTTTCTTGGAGATGCTGAACTCTAGTGAAGTCGACGGTGGCTCGACGACAATCTTCTTCTTGTCTGCGCTAGGAGCCGCGGCGTTCTCTTTTGCGCTCGCGTCCTTTGAGCTCGCATCTTTTGAGTTGGTTGCGACATTTGGATCTGGGAGAGCGATAGGTGGTCGTTGAGCGTCTGTTGAGCGTGGCGGGAGAGCAATGGGCGCTCGCCGAGGACTCCTTGAGCGTGGAAATGATGGCAATGGATCTGGGGTAACATCCGTCGTGTATAGGCCGACTTCGGCCGAAATTACAGGGCCGTCGGTACGGATCTCATCACCGCCTAGGGCAGAAGTATGAATAGACGTAGAAGCAGTTGATTCCTGGCGGACATTTGCAAGCGCTCCAAAGCGCACGCCGAACTGGGAACTCCAGAGTTGGCTCGTATGGTGGTAGCTCATAGCTCTGACCAAGGAACCTCTGCAGGAACCGAGCACTTGCGCAGACAGACACGAATGCATGCCTGGGAGTGGAGGAGGGCGCGTTAAGTATACCTCAGTAGAAATACAGCTATACCTCATGTATGAGTGCCTGCACCGTTAGGTAGCTGCACTGCGACCTCCGCAGTTTGAACGGCACATGAGCAGGGCCTCCGTTCAGCAGCTCCAAATGCTCCGAACAGGCCATTCGGATCGCACCACGGGCTCCAGGGAGGGATTGACGCAGCCGGGGAGCTGAGTCTGTGAATCGTGGTGATTGGCCGCCGAGGCAGCCATCATGTCTCAGCGCGCTTAGTTGCAGTTTGAAGGACAAGGGACAAACGGCGTTCAAGGCCGAGATGCCCTTAGTCAGCCTCGCGACAATGTGGGGGCCAGGCATTTTGCGTTGTCGTGCTCTGTTTTAGCGCTGCCCAGCCCACCAGACCTGCTGGGAACGACTTCAACTGAGAGAGAGCGCAGGCTGGATCCGTCTTGTACCCCGGTGATCGAAATCGAAACTTGTGCGAATCTTCTTTTCATACCTCTGCTGTCGGAGATTACTCTTGCTGCGTCGTAAACGCAACGGGCAAAACCCCCTTGCCAAGATGGCGTCACAGCTGCTACCCCTCGGTGAGTTCATCTGCTTCGGGCCCCATGTCCATTTCCCCTGAGCTCTGGGTTAACCTGCTGACACTCCGCTTCAGAACTCATTGACAAGTGTGTCGGATCAAGGATATGGGTCGTCATGAAGGGAGATAAAGGTGAGAACACCAGGCCCTGTCTTCTCGAGCCTGTGCTGCAGAATTAACACTTTGGGCAGAGTTCAGCGGCACGCTCCTAGGCTTTGACGACTATGTCAGTAAGTAGACACCCCTTCTCAACAGGAGTCTGAAACTTCATCTAACGGTAGTCAAGACATGGTGTTGGAGGATGTGACGGAATTGTGAGTCTTCGCCGATCTCTACTCTGGATCTGGGACTGTATTGACCATGTTTTCACATGCAGCGACTACTCTGGAAACCACACAAAGCTTCCTAAAATCCTGCTCAACGGCAACAATATCTGCATGGTATAGCTCGCAACCCTCGGCCTAATGATCAATCATATATGCTGACACTTTCCCCTAGCTGATTCCCGGAGGAGAAGGCCCAGTTGGTGCCGCGGCTTGAGGGACCCAAGTCTCAATGGCATGTCCAAGTACATGCCGACTCATCGCAACCAATACCACGCCCTGACGGCTTATTACGCGCGTGTCACGCATTTCACGACAGAGTTGCTACTCAGTAGGATCTAGCAACAGTGGAATTCTACTGTCCGATTGTTGGAGGATAGCCAGTATCGAGACTGGTCTGCATTATCTTTGAATGCATACTCTCTGTTACAATAACACAAATTTAAATTCATTTTCCCTGGTCCAAATGAAGCCGAAATGCAAAGCCCAATTTCCTGTTCCTGTAACGCCTGACTATGAGACGACTTGATGGTGTTCTCAGTGGCCATTGGTGGCCCCTTGGTCTCCAGTGTTGGTGATACGTCTTAGCTCCCATTCGCGAGTGAACTCTTGATACAACATCTCGAGCTGGTTGATAAGCTTTTCACACACTGACGTAAAAACGTCACGGGGCGAAATGGTTCCGTCTGTCTGTACCCGGATGTAGAGCTCAGGAACATTAGGGTGAGCAACTGTTTATCCTAGTCAGCATGATTCCACCCGACCCCAGCTGAATTGAAAGCCTACTCTTATACCCGGCCATGTAGACATTTGGGTGTGCTTTGAGATGCTCGGCGAGCAGATTACCCAGCGTGTGGTCCTCTTTCTTCAAGATAAAGTCCGAGGTGTTGGACATGCCTGTGAAGAAGCGTTAGCTTCTTTCAAGCCCAAGATGTGATATCAGTCACCAACCAGAATAAACCTTCTCTTCAATCTTCTTTTCGCCCTCGCCGAGCAAAAAGAGCTCGAAACTGATTCAAAGTCAGCATATTGTTAACCAGATGACAAAAAAAAATCGAGATAATTTGGAAGTGGGGGGAACGCAACGGGTTGTCCTGGAGGTTGTCATGCTTCGTGTTGCATCCCGCCATTTTCGCTGGTGCCTGGCAGAAGTGACAGGGTGCTGGTGAGGGTGAAAAGGCGTTCAACAAATTGAACAGGAAAAATGAAAGTGTGAAAAGGCGGAAAGAGTGAGATACCGGCAGCTGCCAAATTGACAGCTGCCAGGAAGGTAACTTTGTAGGTTTGGGCAGATGACAAGTGTAGATTGAGAATGCAGCAAGCGAAAGGCATTCATGCTGAGCGTGCACTTGCACCAGCAGCATGCACACAACATGGTACAAAATGGATCATCCGTGGCTTCAATAACAACCCAGAAGGAGACGATATATGCCGTGCCCTTGGCTTTTAGGCATCTGTGTTCTGCATGATGATTCCCAGCTTCAGGAGAGCCTTGGCCACGGCAAGGGTGACTCTGGAAGTGTAACGAAGCAAAATGGCATCAACGGGAAGTCCAGTAGTAAAAATGATAAACATACCGATCCGGTGCGTTCATCTTGATAGAAGAGTGATGATTGGATGTGAAGGCTCGATGGTGTATCCAGAAACGCGTTGAATGAAATCTCGTGGCAAGCTGCAGAACCAGGGGGGAGAACTGTCAAGCTGGCTGCGGAAAGAGATGGCGATATAAGACGAGAGCAGATTTATGGCAAGTCGTTGGTAACAAATATTCTCTGATAATCCAAAAATTCGGGCAAAAGTAATTCAAAAGGGCTCTGTCGACATCGGTTCCAAAAAGTGGTATGAATAACGGATAGATTGAGAGTGATACTAAAGGATGAGCGGCGAGTATGAGAGCAGATCGGCTAAAGGCCGGCTATGGCTCAGTCCACCAGAAGCGCTAAGAAAAAGCAGCTGGAGCATAATACAGCGAATCTTTAAGTGGCAGCAATTATCTCGCCCAGCTCTATTTCCTCTGTATATAAAATCTCAAATAATTGGGAAACAGTTATCATAATATGAGAAATTGATTATTAATACTTTGATTCGAACTTTTATTTACCCTCATGCAGTATGATATTTAAATGCCATTTTAGTGGCACTTAGTACAGTAGACCGTTTTGGCAGAGCTTAAGGTAGCCACAAATTGTCTACGCCTGTATCATGTTGCCGTTTTCCCTTCAGCAAAGACAAGCCAATGTCGCGAATCCCGCCATGGCTCTTCCGCAAGGCCAGCCGTCGCTCAGCCAACATTGCTGCACTGCTCCCGGCATGCAGAGACCTCCAATCGGCCATGAATGAATTTCGATGGCTCAAAGAGCATGTCAACAGCACTGCAAGCGCCAGCAAAGAAAACTTGCTCTATAGGTTATGCAGGAAAAGAGGCCAAGGCTATCCTTTGCAATACATCTTGGGGTCTCAACCCTTTGGGCCACTGGATGTCAAATGTCGTCCTGGCGTCTTGATACCCAGACCCGAGACCGAGGCGTATACATACCACCTGGCTGATTTGATCAAGGCTGGGAACTTAAAGACTGGCGAGCCAGGCCAACGCCTCGGTATTGTCGATTTTTGCACAGGAACGGGATGCATACCTCTACTTCTTTACTCTTTGCTCTATCGGAAGTTTGAGCATCTGGAGGTCGTTGGAGTGGACATTTCTACTCAAGCTGTCAGTTTGTCCAGGGACAACATTGTTCATAATGTGAAGCTTGGCCATCTCCCACAACCCGGGACAAATCGTACTCTCAACATTTTACAACAAGACATTTTTCAGGACGAAGTCATAGAGAAGCTTCAAGGACGCACTTGGGATGTGATGATATCTAATCCACCGTATATCTCCCGGCAAGTGTGGTACCGTGGAGGTGGCCAGATTGGACACTCCGTTCGAAAATACGAGCCGTCTCTGGCTTTGGTTCCAGGGAACGACATTTCAATTCCTGCAAATTGGGAGCACGAAGACGTCTTTTATTCCCGATTGCTCAACATCGCATACAACCTCAAGCCAAAGGTGATATTGTTAGAGGTTGGTGATGAGATGCAGGCACTTCGGGTTATATCGCGACTTTCCCAACACAAGCTCTCTACCAATTCACATGTAGAAGTCTGGCGAGATTGGCCAGATTTAGCATCGAGTCACGATGAAGAATCCCCATTAGAAATCACAATGGATGATGGAAGCAGTCGACTTGTTTCAACCAAGGGCAGCGGCAACATACGATCCATCTTCATCAAACTGGACGTCTGAGTTTCATACCTAGCCCTCTCTCGTTTAACCTCGTTTGATACTGCCGATTATGGCCATTATCTTTCAAATATGGTAATTTCAACATTAAGAGAGGGAGCTAGACCATCACGATGAATATACGCAATTATTCTTGTAACATTAGTATTAGAGATCATATCACTCCATAGAATCTAGAAGAAGTAGATGACGGAGTTTCTCCCAGGCGGAACCCCGATCCTCCGAGCCTACCCTGCATCGCTCCGAACTCCGCACGTGACTCCGTACAATTTTCGGGGTTAATGTGGACCGCCCGCCGGCAGGCTTCAATCTCGTGGTGTCATCTAGAACAAGTCCGCAGTGGCGTTGGAACATTGCATTTTTCTCACAGCGCATGTCGATTTTCTGACAAAGCGAATCCGGAGCCATCAAGCGCAATCCTGCGCAGCGAGTGCGATATACTTGCACTTCTCCCTCGTCATTGACCCAGGACCGGCGGATCCGCCGCAAACCACAACCCGCCGCCCTCCACCATGTCAAGATATCTTCGTCAGTCGAGCCAGCTCGCGCGGCTGGCGAGATTCTCAAACAGCGTGAGCTTACAGAGAACACAGAGACTTATCGCCGGCTCCAGCGCAGTGTCTCTCCGAGCATTGCCGACACCCTACGGCATTCTCCCGCGATACTACTCCTCCAAGCCCCCGCATCCCGATGAGAACAAAAACCCCGGTCCAGAGAAGCCGATCAACCACAATGATGCGGGCGCAAAGCCAGAGTCAGAAGGCGGTTCAGAATCACCAAAGATTCCTCTGCCACCTCTGCCAGAGGGTTGGATTCGCCTGTCCAAAGAGGAGATAACTCAGCTGCAGGCGTTCCAGGAGATGCTTCCCGAAGGCCAAAGACAGACGTTGAAGGACATCCTGGTGGGGCTTCAGCATACTGGTGCACCGGCCGAAATACGCGAGCTATTACACAAGATGCGCCAGGGACCTGGCAACTTGTCGATAATGGACAAGGGACGGCTGATGCGATGCGTCTTCATCATGGCCGAACGAGTGGCAGAATGGGAAATTGAACAGCAGCAGCAAGGAAAGCGAGGCATGTTTGATCAAAACAACCCTGAGATGAGCGACCATAAGGACGGGGAGAGGGGAGCAGACGCCAACCGACCTCACAAGGCGTCCGGCGAATCACACTCAAATCAGCAAGGATCTGACCCCAAGTCACCCAAGCCGGAGAGAAACTCATGGATGGATGCCCTTCAGACTGGTCTTGTTCTTGGTGTTACACTTTGGGCTATCGAATCGTTCAGCAGGCCCTTCTCCGAGAAAGAGATTACCTGGCAGGAGCTGCGCAAGGCCTTTTTGGACAAGGGTCTTGTGCAGAAGCTGGTAGTAGTCAATGGGTCTCAAGTGCGCGTGGAACTGCATCCCGATGCTGTCCAGGGAACGACTGATGGATCTGGAGCTAAACGAACCTACATCTTCTCAATTGGATCCGTTGAGTCGTTTGAGAAGAAGCTGGAGGAAGCCCAGGACCAACTGGGTATTCCGCCATCTGAGAGGATACCTGTCAGCTATGAGGCAGGTGGCAGCACCGTTGGCAACTTGGTGCTGGCCTTTGGACCAACTCTTCTTTTCATCGGCTTGATTTTGTGGACACAGAGATCTATGGGCGGACGAGCAGGGGGGGCTGGAGGCATGTTCAACTTCGGAAAGAGCAAGGCCAAAAAATTCAACGCTGAGAGTGCTGTTAAGGTCAAGTTCAGCGATGTTGCTGGTCTGGAGGAAGCCAAGACTGAGATTATGGAGTTTGTTAGCTTCTTGAAGCAGCCTGAAAAGTTTGAGAAGCTGGGTGCAAAGATTCCTCGAGGTGCCATTCTTGCCGGCCCACCAGGAACAGGAAAGACTCTTCTCGCCAAGGCTACTGCTGGAGAGTCTGGCGTGCCTTTCTTCAGCGTGAGCGGATCTGAATTCGTGGAGATGTTTGTTGGTGTGGGTCCTTCTCGTGTAAGAGACTTGTTCGCTGAGGGCCGAAAGAATGCACCTTGCATCATCTTCATTGACGAAATCGACGCTATCGGTCGTGCTCGACAGGAGAGCGGCCGTGGATTCGGCGGCAACGATGAGCGTGAGGCTACACTCAACCAGATTCTTACGGAAATGGACGGATTCAACACGAGAGAACAGGTCGTCGTCTTGGCCGGTACCAATCGTGCCGATATACTAGACAAGGCACTGATGCGACCTGGCCGCTTCGATAGGCACATCTACATCGACCGACCCACCATGAAGGGACGACAAGAGATCTTCCAGGTTTACCTCAAGAAGATTGTCACCAAGGAAGACCACGAATACCTCATTGGCCGACTTGCCACCTTGACCCCTGGCTTCTCCGGTGCAGACATCTCCAATGTCGTGAATGAAGCAGCTCTGATTGGTAAGCCCCTAAAGCCGTAGCATAATGCCTGTTTTTGAGATTCAGTACTAATGGTAGAAACAGCCGCGAGAGAGAACGCAGACGACGTCAAGATGATCCATTTCGAGCGAGCCATTGAGAGAGTCATCGGAGGCTTGGAACGCAAGTCCCTGGTGCTCAGGCCAGAGGAGAAGAAGACAGTGGCCTACCACGAGGCTGGACATGCCATCTGTGGTTGGTTCTTGAGACATGCGGATCCTCTCCTGAAGGTCTCCATTATCCCCCGTGGTCAGGGTGCCCTGGGTTATGCGCAATACCTTCCCCAGGACGCTTATCTGATGAACACTAATCAACTGATGGACCGAATGGCCATGACCATGGGAGGTCGTGTGTCTGAAGAACTACACTTCACCACAGTAACGACCGGTGCTAGCGATGACTTCAAGAAGGTCTCGCAAATGGCACGCAGCATGGTAACCCAATGGGGCATGTCGGACAAGGTGGGACCTGTCCACTTTGACAACGATCCGAACCGCATGGTGAAGCCATTCGCCGAGGCCACGGCCCAACAAATCGACCAGGAGGTGCACCGGATAGTAGAGGAAGCTTACACTCGGTGCCGAAACCTTTTGGTGGAGAAGAAGACGGAAATCGGCCTGATTGCGGAAGAGCTGCTGAAAAAGGAGGTGCTGTCTCGCGACGACATGGTGCGAATCCTTGGCAAGCGACCGTTTGACGATAACGAGGACTTTGAGAAGTTCTTTGGAGGCAAAGGGGCCAGCTCCCCGCCACCTTTCCCGACCGAGACCGACACACCGAAGGAAGAGCCGCCTGCGCCCGCGCCCGCCTTCCGGAAGCTGTCAGACGAGTGAAAGAGGTGCTGTTGATATTATGTAAGATGACGGACCGTGAGGGGACATGTACAGTTGAATGACCAAAGGGAGAGAAAGTCTAAAGGGAAATAACCAGGGGGGGATTGTTGTACCTCATGAAGCCAAGTATGGGGAACTGCCGGGAACTTCTTGACAAGCCCGGATTGGCTGCTCTATCTTCGCCAACGGAGCGGGAATCAACATCCGCTAACCTATGGCCGACGATGGCAGCCTGTGTTTATTTTTTACGAGTCTCAACTCTACCATGAGCAAGGGGGATGCTAAAATCTCCTCTGCATGTACTTATTTATCATCATATGGGGGAAACTAGCGGGTAAGGAAAAGGGTGGCAGGGGCTTATTGAACATTACTGTGTACTCGTATCTGGATTTAGAACTGTAGACGTATTGGTAGGATCAGGAAATCAAGTAGAAAGAGCGCCATCCGGCTCAAAATGAAGAAGGGAATTTGATGATGATGAAATATCATGTGTAAGCCGTGAGTATGCCATTGAAACACACTTGCAAGTGGAGAGGTAAAAAGTGACGGATAACCTATTGATTTACAAGTTACACCACCTCAAGCCTCTTCCACCACCAAGCAGACGCACGATAAGGCGAGCATCACATTCATTGGCTTGTCGTTCCCATTGTATATTGTCCTGAAGTTTTGCAACGCAAGGGACGACATACATCCCCGGGGGGTGAAGCGAAAATATGATTGGCCGGGAAAGTTCCTCCTACTGGCGACGCTAAAACGGGCGATGGGTAACACAAAGACAGGCGTTATGGAGCCCCAAAGTGGCGATGCTTTGAATGCAGAGCTCCGAATGTAGAATATTTTGCATCTAGGATGAAGGGGGGAAAAGAGATGATTTGTGGGATGATTGGATTTTACCGATCGTTGCCGGGGTTAGGCGAACCTGTGGATTTTTTTTTTGGCAAGGGATTCTGCCAAGAGCCGCAAGTTTAGCATACCCCGTTTTTGTAGTACGAGTGCCTTTACATATACTTTGTCTAATGTTCATAACTCTAGTTACACAGCAGAGTAAAAGTTCCGTGCAGCGAGTAAATGAGCATGTTGTGTGAGGCGTCTTGTTTGCTGGTTGGTGGTAAAAGTTCTTGTCTGTAATTAAAACATCATCCCGATTGTTGCTTGTGAGCTGTTTGGCGCTGACGGTTGATGCTAGTAGTTGAGAAAGTTCCACAGTGAGGCTTGGGGAAGAAATGAAATTGCTATGGGGTAATTGGTAGAGATGACCTGCTACATGAGGTATCAATTCGAATTTTGTTTATGCTTCTTTTGGGTTGGTTGGTATCTTATGGTGAGGGTAAAGTATTATAGTTTGTTGATGCTTGTGATATAGGCTGGCTACTATCACCAAGGTAGTCCTACAATCACTGTATCTGTCTCAAAACTCTAATATCAGATCAGTCAGAGGTTTACAGGAGGTTTTCAGTCCATCTATGTAGATGCAGTTAATAATACTCTATTATTCCGTACTCATCGCCAACACATTTCGTCGTCAATGCCTTTGTTCTCGGTATAAAGTTAAAAAGCCCACTCACTCCCATATGTGGGGGCGAAATGCGGTAACGACACACCACAGTCGTCTAAACCCAGTCGGGCAGTGTTTCATCCAATGTGTGCAGTGAGCGATGTCATAGGCGGTGTTAGTGCTGGTGGCCTCCGATCTCGAATCTGGATCTAGCCTCCCGAAAAAAAAATGGGAAAGAAAATAACCCAAAAAATAAAGAGGCAGGATCCTTTTCTACTTCCTTTTATCAAACAAGCGGGGGAGGGGAGAAGAGGAAATTCATCTTCTAATATCTCCACTGTCTTTCCCTCTGCAGCTAATCCTTCACAGCTAGTTGCAGTGGCGGATCTGTCTTTTTTGCCTTGGCCAGGGGGGTGTTGACATGACTCCCTTGTTGGATCCATCCGCCATAATAAAATCGTTCGTATAACGATTCTTGTCTCTTTGCTTTCCTCGTCACACTTTCTTGAGTGTTTCCGCCGCTTCGATGACTCTGTTATGAGGAGACGCCCATACCCGGCTTGATACAAACCGACTCACTACTCTGCGAAGAAGCCAGTACTTCCAGAGAACCCGGGCTTCTACTCGGCGTATTCAGTGCCGAGAACAAAACTCGACGTCATACGGCGAGGGCAGTCGTCGAGAATCTAGCTCACCATGACAGTTCTAATGGCGAATTCTGTCGATGGAAGACGAGTGGCTGGTGAGGACGAGGGCTATGGAGCGACGCCCATCTTTCGAGCGGCATCAGGCCAAGAGGTGCCCATCACGACGACAGCATCATCGACGAGAGATGACAGGGCATCGATGTCGACATTACAGCGGCCTCACGAAGCCTGGTGGAGCATTCATCCCTTCCGTGGCATGGTCAACGATGTTCGTCGGAGAGCGCCTTACTATGTTAGCGACTGGCTCGACGCGTGGGACTATCGTGTTGTGCCTGCCACCGTCTTCATGTATTTTGCAAAGTATGTGATATCTATTGGTTCTCCTTGTTTACTGACGGAAGTCTATCGAGCAAGCATTTACTAACCCGCGCCATTGACAGTATCCTACCTGCCCTTGCCTTCTCTCTGGACATGTTTCAGAATACCGGATCAAACTATGGTGTCAATGAGGTTCTGCTTGCTTCTGTCCTGGGCTCTGTGGTCTTTTCCATATTTTCTGCTCAGCCGCTCGTCATTGTTGGGGTCACAGGTGAGTGTGCTATATGCTACCTGTATAAGTTGCGTGGTATCTTCTTGGTTCTAACATGGCATTCTATAGGCCCCATCACTGTGTTTAACAGTACAGTCTATGACATCATGAAACCAACTGGTGTCAATTACCTGGGATTTATGGCTTGGATCGGAATGTAAGCTCAATGTCACTCGGAGACTGCATATTGACAAATTATTGACTCGTCCCTTCTAGATGGTCGCTGATTTTGCACTGGATCCTTGCCATTACAAACTCCTGCAACTGGCTTCGCTGGGTCACACGATTCCCCTGCGACATCTTTGGATTCTACGTGGCTTTCATCTATCTTCAAAAGGGCATCCAAACACTAGAGCGTCTTGGCGATGGGAGTGCCTTTTATCTCTCCATTGTCGCGGCGTTACTGCTCTTCATGGTTGCTTATATCTGCGGGGAGCTGGGAGGTAGTAGTCTTTTCAGACATCCAGTTCGGGTTTTCCTAAAGGATTACGGCACTCCGTTGACTCTCGTTTTCTTCACTGGATTTGTTCACATTGGTCGTATGTCTGAGACTCATTTGGCGGTGCTCCCAACCAGCACTGCGTTTGAGCCGACAGCCGATCGAGGATGGGCCGTCAACTTCTGGGATTTGAGCGTTGGAGAGATTTTCACCGCTCTCCCATTTGCCATTCTCTTGACTATTCTGTTCTGGTTCGACCATAATGGTAAGGCTGTTTCTTTCTTTTCAACATGTATTTAGTTACTAACATCGATGCAGTGTCATCTCTTATTGCGCAAGGAAGCGAATTTCCCCTGAGAAAGCCCGCTGGTTTCCACTGGGACTTTTTCCTTCTCGGCATCACCACCGGTGTGGCCGGCATTCTCGGCTTACCCTTCCCCAATGGCCTGATCCCACAAGCCCCTTTTCATACCGAGTCCCTTTGCGTCACCAAAGCCGTCAAGCAGCTCGATGAAAAGGGTGAAGACAAGGGAGCATATACTTTCGAAGCGACTCATGTCGTCGAGCAGCGTGTATCCAATCTGGCTCAGGGACTTCTTACCCTTGGCACCATGACGGGCCCTCTTCTCGTCGTCCTCCATCTGGTCCCCCATGGAGTTTTAGCTGGTCTCTTTTTCATCATGGGCTTTCAGGCCCTTCAAGCAAATGGCATCACAGCCAAGCTACTCTTCTTGGCCCGGGATAAGAATCTGACTCCCGCAAACTCACCTCTCAAACTGGTGAAGCGACGCGCCGCAATCTGGGGCTTTGTTATTGTTGAGCTGGTCGGGTTCGGCGCCACCTTTGCCATTACACAAACCATTGCTGCCGTCGGATTCCCTATCATCATCTTGCTCCTCATCCCCGTACGCGCTCTGGTCCTACCTAGAGTCTTCCACCCAGAAGAACTGGTCGTGCTCGACGAGCCAACAGCTTCCGACTATATCATGGAAGGAATAGGCGGCTCATGGGGCGGTGTCAGTCAACAAGATGAGATTCAAAGCAGTGACGATACACCTGTAGCGAGCGGGTCCTCGTCATCTTCTCAACGAAGCGGTAGTCCTGGTCGTGGCCATAGAGGCGTTCACCATGGCTCTCTGCATAAGAGTCAAGAGGATCTAGCAGAGCTTGGACAGGCTCCTACTGGGCAGAACATGGTAGCTAGGAGGAGGAGTATTGATAAAAGAGTGGAGAGGGAGCATCACGTGTGATGCTGCATAAAATCTCAAAAGTGATTTGCTCGATGATGTAAGACGATGGAGTTTTTGATACCCGGGATGATGGTTTTACTATTGGTTATATGTGGAATTGATGGAGATTTTCGGTATAAGTTGTCTAGACATGAAAAATTGGCAGCTCGGCGAACAAAATATATAATAGACTTGGTTACGAGACCACTTATACAATAATACACGATTGATACCGACTTTTTTCTTTATTAATATGCGGTCGTCATTCGTATCCCAAAATTTCCTCGCAATGCTCTGTACATATATAGTAAAATATACGGAATAACCCTTATCATCTGCCATTTCCAACTCGCTTGACCCTTTTCTACTCCTCGTCATCACTGTCTATGACAAAACCACCGCGCACCCTCGGCCTGCGAGTCACAACAGGCACGTCATCGCCATCTTCCTTGGCATTGTCTTCCACCTGCTGAGATTGCGCAGCATTAGAAGCATCCTCCATATCAACATCCTCATCCTCATCCTCGACACTAATTCTCCTCTTCTTCCTACTCTCGCCATCGCTCTCTTCCATGGGGGTATCATCCCTACTTTCCACCTCCTCATCATTAATCAAGCCTAGGACATCGTCATCCTCACCGCCCTCGTCCTCTTCATCGCTACCAATCCGCACCGCAGCAGCTTTCCGCTTCTTCACCGGCTCAGGATCCACAGCTGACTGCGCTGCCTTTGCAGCACGAGCAGCAATCTCACGTTCGCGCGCGAAAAATGCTTCGTCTTCCTCTTCGTCGAACTCGTCGTCTCCGTCTTTGACGTACACGGCGGATTTGATCTTGCGGGCCTTTTCGCGCTCGCGCTCTCGCCGCTTGCGAGCTTTTTCTTCCAGTTCTTCATCATCTAGTTCCTGTACTTGACTATCTCTTCGTCTTCTCTTTCTTGTCTTCTTGGGTCTTTCTGATTCATCGATTACTTTTCTTGCCGTTGGGCCTCCGGCTTCAAATAGAAACTCATCATCTATGTCATCACCTTCGTCATCATCAAAATCTGCCTTCTTGCGGGGCAGTGTTTTCCTCTTTAGCTGATTTTCAGCCAGCTGTCCATCGTCAAATGTTGGAGGATTGAATTCCGCTTGGTTGATATAATGCAATGTATCTTTGAGGGAGTCGGCAGTGACATCTTCTGGGAGTACCCAGAGGGACTCGGGTGTCTCCTCTGAAGCAGGCCCAAACAGCCGAAAACCGCAGAGATTCAGTAGAAGACGCAGATATGGATTCTTGAATCTGGCGGTGCGTCTCGCGTCGCTATCAGGTCGTACGTCTATGTAGAGGTCAGATATAATCACAGCACAAAACAACCACCAGAGACTTACTGAAGGGGGGAGGTTTGCTCTTCTCTTTGGGTTCGTTGGCATCTGTCGGCTCTTCAAACGGATTTTCTGTTGTTGCCAAGGCCTCCTCAGCAGCAGCCCATGATCGGCGTTCGCTTTCGGCTTCGGCAATAACACTCTTCACCCAACCGATATGATCTCCCTCGTTCTTATCCAGCAGTGCACCAACCACGATGGCGATTTGCCGATCGAGCTCTTCTGTGTATTTGAAAACAAGTTCAGCCCCAGGCTTCGCCTGCTTCTTGGAAGCGGTCTGCTTCTCATATCCGTATTCCAGGAAGAAAGCAGTGCTTTGCAATTTGCTGAAGAGCATTTCGATGATGAGTTCTGGCCTTTGCTCAATCTTCTTGAAGCACTTGCGGAGTATTTGCTTCACGAGCTCTTCCCAGTCTTTGTACATGCTTGACGACTTATCCAAAGGCTCGGGACCTTTGATCATATTGTATAGCAAATGGATTATATCCACACGGAAAAGCATTACGCTCATCTCCTGTTTGAATGCGAGGCGATAGAAGTATCGATGAACACGCTTCAACTGGGTATCATCCATATCGCGATAGAATCGCGTAAATTTGACAAAAGTATCCACCACGCCTTGTGGTGAAAAGCGAGCCGCGAAGCGTTGAAAATCAAATTTGCGTTCTTTGGAGGTACGTTCTGTAGCTTCCTCATCGTTGGCCGAGTCATCGTTTTCTTCAGCCAGAGCACCGTCTTCAGTACCCTGCTGCAGTTGCTGCTCTTTATTCTTCTTCTGCCGTGTTCGTTTGCGAGAGCGAACTTGCATATCCGCATTCTGCTTTGAGTATGCCTCCAGAATACGAAGGAAGTGATGAACCAGCTCCGTGGCAGCATCTAGATAGTAGAAGCCCTGATCCTTGTAGGTCCTGATTATGTTGGCGATGGTATCGTGCGTTGATTCTTCGTAAAACAGACGACTCAAGACGTTTTCTGCAATTTCCTCATCGTCCTCTCGGCCGCTCTCGGACATTTCTTGAACTGTGAGTAGAATCTGGGTGAAGCATCTCATCACAGCAGCCAGCTCATGCCAGTCCTTGTACTCATATGCTTCATGCATAGCCTTGTTGAGAGTGATGAACATTTCTTGGTTTAAAACGCCCGCCACAAGACTGAAGCTGGATACCTCATCATCCGCCTTGTTACTAGATCCTTTCTTCAGCTTTTTTCGTGTTCGTTCGGCTTCAAGGAACCATGCTACGAGGTAGAAAAATTGCCTCCTGTGGTACTGCATGACATGCGAAGCCTCTCGATCAATGGTTTTGCGAACGTGTGAGAATAAGGGGTTGAAGCCCGAGTCAAGGAACTCTTCAACGAATGAGCGAAGCTGTCCGGCTGCTCGCGCGTTAAGCTTCGCAGGCGGGCCCAGGTCCCTCTCATCCTTATTCTCCTTTCTTGTTCTACGAGGAGGTTTGAACACTTTGTTGTTATCCATCTTCAGATTACGTGTTGAGGCGTCGCCAAGGACATCTTGTCCTGAAAGTGAAGACATTTTCCCATCCTCACGCTTGACCCAAATCATCGTTCCGAAGCGGTTGTGTCTAGTTGGGCCGTTGCGGGCGTAGGCCTTGTGCATGGCCGATTCCTTATTCATCAGCGACGCGAGCTCATTGGCCTTTGCTTTGTGTACTTGTTGCTCTGTCATGAAGAGTTTATCTATGTCGACTCGTTTGATGAGATGGAAAATGATCTCCATAACAGAGGTGTCTTCAGTTCTGAAATCTTCACCCATATTTGAAGCCAACGTAAGGAGAAATAAGAATATGTCTTGGTATGAAAAGGCATCGATGGTGGCCGACCGCGAGATTTGTGTCTCGTCACCCTCGTATTGGACATTGGGTGGAGGGGCAATCATGGCCATGTTGCGGAGGAAGAAGAGCACCAGTTTGATGATGCCTTGATCTCGTGCTGCTCTGTCACCAGCTGGGAGCGCCAGCGAGGGCAGAGCGGTCCTGACGGCAGCATGAAGGATTCGAGCTTCATCAAAGTTGATAATGGCCCTCTTGTATTGAACCTGTGCAAGCTCCAACACAGGCATGTGTCGATGGTGATTGACCGTCATCCGTTCCTTATCACGCTCCATAGGCCAAGTCAAAGGAACCATGATCTCAAAGCATGACAGCGCAATTCGAGACTTGTACTTGCTATCGGTAGCGTTTTCGGGCCATGTCGCCAGGATCGGGAGCAGGTCGCCCTCAATCAAGTTCGCCTCGTGGATGCAGCGGGCAACATCCATGCGGTTCGTCTTTTCGTCGTAGAAGCGAATCCATCGTTTGATATCGCGGAGGACCTCCAACGCATCGTCTCCCAAGTGGTATCGGCCATCGTCCTCTGTGCTTGCGCCTCCCAGCTACCATGATTCATCAGTATAAAATTGTCCAGGGAGCGCGAATAATCGTGATCTCTCTTGAGAACCTTGAGAACCTACCGCTGCAACGAGGCTGCTGATGTGTGCCCGAACTTCAGGATGGACAATGTCCGTTGTACCGTCGCCCAGCTCCATCGTGGCCGTCTTCTGCGTGAAGCTCTATGGGTATAAAAGTGAATTAGTCGACAGCATCGAAGACGGCCAAATGCAAGCAGCTGTATGCTTCAATGCTCCAGCTATCAATTGTCAGTTCAGTTCATAAATCTATAGCTGCCCCTCCAGAACGCGTCTAGCTAGACGCGCTTGGGTGTTAGAGCGACCAATTTACGCGGTCGATAAGCGGAAGATTGTCGGCACCGATAACACGGCTTCACTCAACCTCCACCGAGCAAATGGGCCGAGGTTACCCGGGTTGCCGCAATCCATATTAAGTTGTTCATGTACCTCATCTAGCCGTCTTGGACCTTCACCGATCTCTCTCTATCCTTTACAGTTCAAAATGGCCAGTTCAATTCTTCGAGGGAGGGCGCTGGGAGCCGTGCGCCAGGCCCGTTGCTTCAGCTCTTCTCCAAGGCAATATGCCGCTGATGTCAAGAGCGTCGGTGTTCTCGGCGCCGGCCAGATGGTGAGAGTCCTGATCCCGCTTACACGTGAAGATGGTATTCTGATGCTGCGTTTAGGGCCTGGGCATCGCTCTTGTTGCTGCGCAAAAGGCGCAAGTTCCGGTTACTCTCGTCGATGCTTCCGAGCAGGCATTGAGTAAAGGCATTGCTTTTGCCGGTGCGTTGGAGCTTCGAGCCCGTGGGCTAAGTGATGTCATGACTGACAGCCGTGATAGAGAAGCTGCTGGCCAAGGACGTGTCCAAGTCTCGAATTACTCAGGAACAGGCTGATCAAGCCCGCTCCCTGCTGACGACTAGTACCAAGATTGAGGACTTCTCTTCCGTCGACTTCATTATCGAAGCTGTGCCTGAGATCCCTCAGCTCAAGTTCGATATCTTCAGCAAGCTGGCCAAGGTAGCTCCCCCTCACGCAATCTTGGCGACCAACACCTCCTCGATCTCCATCACGCGCATTGCTGCCGCCACTACCACCGATCCCAACGACACCTCGGCTTCATCGAGAGTTGTTTCTACTCACTTCATGAACCCCGTCCCTGTTCAGAAGGGTGTAGAGATTATTAGCGGCTTGCAAACCAGCAAGGAAACGCTTGACACGGCGGTTGAGTTTTGCAAGCGGATGGGCAAGGTC